CTGCTGACCTGTAATTTCAAACTTGTAGGTCAGTTAAGATGTCATTAATCTCATGGTTATTGTCAATGTTTTGGGTAAATGTTACAGGGGATATTACAAATCAAATCAAAATATACTTTATTTCCAAAAATATAGAACAATATAAAATAAAAACATCCACTTCCAGTGAAACATTATATTGTTAGGTATATTTTGAACAATTTTTGTATGATATTATCTTATGTTGCTGTAAACATCTGTAACGAACCCTCAGGGAAGCGAGCTGGTCTAATTATAGAGTGTGGGGCTTCAATCTCTAAGGTCCCAAGTTCAAATCCTGCCAGTCACTAAGGGTTTTAGCTAGTGATAATGCCACGATCCTCTAGGACTAGCCTGAAGTAATGTGTAAAACCATTTTGGGCCAGAGCCTAGCGTCCTAGGACATTAAGGAGGAATATAAAAAACTTGTGCAACATTGTGTTGGATGCACAGTTTATTTTTAACATATGATACAGAGTTGTATGACATCTGCCATCTGTTGGAGACGGAGATGGTCTCCCTACGCAGAGGTCTGACTCAGCGCTCTGTCACTATACTGCCTGCTCACTGCCCCTCCCCCAGCCGGCGATCCCCTTCTCTGGGCCGAGGTATTCCACACCCTCTTCCCCACCCTTGTATAGTGCAATCTCGATGAAACAAATCCTTAACAAACCGATCATTTGTTTGATAAAGTATTTTGTTGGATTGGGGTTAGATGACCTAAAAAATTGTTACATCAAGGTTCACAGATCACCTCAGATACGTTTGGAGCTTATTATATATTGTGAAATCGTATATTTTATCCAAAATAATTTAATTCTCTACACAATTACTTTGTGAAGATTAAAAGATGAAACCTCTACAGCTGTGAATAAACTGTAAAATATTAATGCACGGAAAGCAAAATAAATACAGTAGCCTGAGTAGCCTACAAACTGAAATACGAAAACGGGGAAATTAAATGTGTCAAATGCACTAATCTGCATTAGGGATGGACGAGATTGGATTTTTAGTTCGAGACGAGACGAAATGGGATTTATTATTTCTCATAAAAATTTCGAGACAAGATCGAGATGGGATTTCCCTTCTCATGCATAATGGGAAATGCACGTTCCATATCTTAACCTGTTTTTTTTTTTTACATTTTGAAATACCTACTGATTTATCACAGACTGGTTAAATACAGAAATAATAATAATAGACAAAAATTTTTAAAATCTTTTATAAAAAACATGATAAAAACATCATTATAAAAAAAATATTTTAATAAGGCCTAACTTATTAGAAATAACTCTTTGGTATAGGAAACATGGAGATATCAGTTAGTATATAGTTCAACTTTGAAAAATATCAAATTTATAAGTCTAAAACAACAGTATTTACTAATAAAGTATCGAGTAAAAAATTTAAGTCTTGTGTTATTTTTAGAATGATTTTGGAGTGACTTATTTCGGCTATGTTTACAGTAGTAAAACATGTCTCACACTGCTTACACTAACTCATTATTTGCTATGTAAAAAAAAGTTATAAAACAATTGAAGCAATATTTTCATGTAAAGAATTAATAATTAAATAAAAACTCCTTCGCAAAGGAAACACAACATCAACACGCTCCTGTATTGCGGGTATTGCATTGACTTTCTGCAGGCGTTTTCTTTTAAATTGTAAAATTAAAAAAAAAATTTTTATCTCGTCTGCAAAAGTCTTGACCACAATAGCATCTTGTCTCGTAGATTGAGATTTAAAATTTCCCGAAAATTGCCCGTAATTTCGAGACATCCCTAATCTGCATGTTTTATTTCGGTGGTCTCATTAGTATGAAATGACCGTCCTGTTTGTTAGAGAAAAAGCTGATGGTATCAGTTTGTTTTAACATCAATAGTTTGATGATATCATAGCTCACCAATTCCTTTAGTTTTTGACGTCCATTGCAAATAAAATTAACATATGCTCACACACCGAGCAATATAGGCTTTCTGCAGAAACTGATGAAATGCTCTACCAACAATGATAGAGTGCAATTACCAACTAAAATTTAAAAGTCGAGACACAATGTTTTTGTTTGTTACATTCATTAGTGAAGTACATAGTCATAGGAGTTTTGTTATATAGAGGTGAAATTCACTATATAGAGGTTCCAACTACCAGTAATTTGCTAAAATGAAAATAAATGATTTATTTGCCGAGATTATAACAAATATGTTATATTGCGGTTGTGAGTACAGTTTATTTGTTATGAATAATTGAAATTAAATGTAATTCTTATGTAGAGCTCTAGGGGATTTGAAAAACATCCTACATCAAGGAATTAGTTGTACCAAGGATTTTTATATTGAGGTTGCACTTAATACTAGAATACTCTTTTACCTCATGTTTGTTAAAATTCCCTCCATGAACCCCCCCCCCCCTGTGTAGCTCTGGATAGGTATTATTTGACTACAGTGTGTTTTAGGTCTCGTCCCTTGTTTCTTTTTACTCAGTGGTGCTGTTGATAGTAATTATAACTTTAGTTGGGTGGAGGATTATTTTCTCTTTGTCCCCCTCTCGCGGTCGAGTCATTCCACAGTTATACCCCCAAGACCCTTTTATACTAGGACAGCATTTTCCCTCATGTTAATCCAAACTCCTCATTGACTCCCATGTTTGTCTTTGGATATATTTTTGACTCCAGTGTAGACCTAAGGCCCAATTCACACCGAACGGACGTCGGGCGGAGACGTGGCACGGACGTGGCGAGGACATATGTCCGTTCCTCGCCTCCCCATGTAAACAAATTGGTCAATGCACACACAAGTGACGTGGCGCGGGCGGCCGCCCTCCCGCCACCGCCACGTCGCTTCGGCGTCCCTCGTGGCGTATCGGAAGTGGCATGTCCGTAGCGCGCCCGTTGTTCGGACTGCAAATATTGTACTATACTTACCAACCTTCTTGTGTATAGTGTGCTTGTACTTACCAACCTTGTTGTGTAGAGTTTTTTTTTGTGTAGATTGTGAGTTGTTTCTTCACTATGCGAGACGACATTGAATTTAATATCAAATTTTGTGAGGAAGTAGAACAATTCCCTTGTTTGTACTAATTGAGTTTACAGAAGTTAACTAACTCCATTGACATTAATAGAAATAAGCAAAAACCAAAGCGTCTAGGCTACATACAGGTTGTCTCGCCACTGTACCGTCCCTTCACCGTCCCTTCGGTGTGCATTGAACACGCCACGTCACTGCCATGTCTGTGCCTCGTCCGTGCCACGTCTCCGCCCGACGTCCGTTCGGTGTGAATTGGGCCTAATGTTCCTTTACACTCCAGTTGTACAGTTCATTGATTTGACTCCACTTTAGTTAGGCAGTTTTTTCCCTGATCTTAGTCTTTTTACCTGCATTGTGTTTTTAGTACATCTTCTCACATTAGATTCTTTACTTAACACTCTGTAAGAAATTTTCTCTATCCACAATACATCTTCATTCTTATAACTTATCACCATTTGTTGTTACTGTAGCAAATTACAAAGTTGAAAGTGTGGTTTAGTAATACATTGTTTCTATGTAATGTATACAGAGAGGTGCAAAAGGATATACAGTAACCAAATAGTTGATTAAAATACGTTTTTATTTAACAAACAATAAGACTTTATAGTGGTATATAGCAACAACAAAAACAGCTGATGGTGGTAAAAGCAAGTTTTTTTACAGACACAGTCATATACAAATTAACGTGCAAAGGTCATTTTTACCTACCAATTACAACTATATATCTACTTGCACATCTCCTATTTTTTTATAAAATACTTTCAAAATATTACCAATTCATTGATTGGGGTTTCTTTATTTTTCACATAAACTCCTTGCCTATTTACTGTTGAACTTAATTCTGTGTTTTATGCTACATGATACTGGTTGTGTTTTATTACTCCAAAAAGTAATTTTCGCCCATAGTTAAATAAATAAATCTCATAGGTAAGTGGACATACTTTAATTGTAATGGATACTGTCTAGATATATTAAATGTAGGCCTGTGCCATATGTCAAGTAATCAGTTTTACTAATGGTTATTTAATAGTAAAATAATTCAATTTGACACAATTTTCTACAATTATATTTCTTGTCAGAGGAGTTAGTAAGTTTTAACAAGATTTTTATAAATGGTTTACAGGTAAAATCAACAACCCATATTGTAAAGAGGTTTTATAGAAATTTTATCGTGCTCAAGTATGAATATATGTTATCATATTCCAAGATTCCAGCCAAATTAACAAATTTTTAAAGGCAGAAAAAAAGGAAGATAAATCACATGAAAAAAACTAGTTAAATTTTTTTTATATACACAAATTGATAAACAAAAATTCACAAGACATCTCAAATGTATCAAAACATCCAATAAAATTACAAACCACAGTTATGTAGGGCCCACATCGTACATTACATACTAATAATAAAACAGGTGTTTCAATAAACAACGATGCCTTTAAACCCGATTTATTTCTTAGATTTCTTTCCATTACCCGAAAACAATGTGTAATAGTTGTGTGGATAATTGAATCGAGTTATAAATAATTATGTTTAAAAAATGAAATAAAGTCAATATTAAAATAAATACTAGAATTCTCATACCATGTTCATATCCTACATGTTCAACAGCTATCATTCCAATATTGAATGTTGAATGTGCTACTCGTTCTACAATATTGATAATAAATGGCATTATTGGACGGAAAACTTTTCTATATAGTAGCATACAAACAACTTTCAAATATTTGTACAACAATAGATTAACAAGTGAGGAAATATTTGTCAAAGTCAAATACAAAACGTCCACTAAGAGATCAGGGTGCCAGAAAAAAAAGAAAATTATTGCTAAGTTGATAACATTGTATACTAAAGACACAAATGGAGATATTGCAATAGTCATGAATATAAAGAATGTGGGGCATTTCGTCCTTGCCGCATGGACACTTGATTCTAGAATGGCATGTCCTAGGCTTGATTGTTTGTTGATTACATTGATCATTACTGCTTCTAGCACTACTGGTACCTGAAACAAATTAACGTCCAATCAATATAAACATTGTAACTCAGGTTTTCTACAGCTACTCGATATCCCAGATCTGAAAAGTCCCCAATATTTCAGTTACGTTCCAGATGTCGCTGTAAACACACAACATTTTATTCAGTAATTTATTCCACACAGGAACAGCAAGGCTGGGATACAACTAAAATAGGCAATACAAATTTAAATACACTATATTGTATGCTCAATTGATCCATCTAACTTATAGTAAATGTTTTCATTTTTTTTCAAGGACATTTAACAAACTACTAGACCCGAGATATTATTATTTTTTATGCTAGGTTAAGTCTTTTTTTGGGGTTTAAGCAACATAAGTGAGGCTGAAAGTGGTTGGAGGTTATGCTTTTACTGTGATTTGTAATGTGCAGAGTCAACGAAACAATGTTTTTGGTCAGCTATGAATTGTTTGTTTGGTTGTAATATTTGTATATTATTTTAAAATTTACTTTGCCATTGGTTAACATCTTACAATTTGCTTAAACATAAGTGTTTCATGATTTACTGATATTTTGCGCATAACAATTTCTGAAAATTGCTTGGTAAGGTCTTTGAAAATGCCCCCTCCCCATATTTAGTTTGGCAACTGCTGTAGACATCTTACAAAGTTATAAACATGGGTTCTCTCTATTCCTATAACACTCCTACATCATTCTATGGTTGTTGCAGAGTTGTACGAGGTTTGTGACCTGCTAGAGACGGAACCGTCTTGTCTACAGACTGCTGTGACGTCACGTAACCTGCAGGTCACAGAGACGTGTGACCCTCCTCTAGTCACAGAACTGTCAGCTACTGAAGCCACACATGCCAGAGATTCCTTGTGTAAGGCCCTCTACAGTAGACTCTTCACTTGGCTTGTCAACCGAATAAACGAAGCTCTTAAGGTGTGTTAAATAAAAGTCATTGTCATTATAACTCATACAATGTATTGTTATATTAGTGTTGTGATAATTTATCTTTAGTGTTTGTATTGTGTGGGAGTGATGGTCGAAATTAGGAATTTTAAATCTCTAAATTGAAACCAAAACTAAAAGTAATCAAATTTTTAATCTTAAATCTCGAAACCTAAATGTGAAAATACGTAACTTGCCTGGTTGAAGTTAAAATAACCCTGCCACAGCAAACCTGCAGACTAAGGGAATTTCCATTTGCCTCATTGGATTTTCACTCAAATATTTTCTTAAACACATCAGATAAGTATTTCCTGTATACGACATTAGGTTTGACGAGTACTTAGGTTTGCTGCTACACAGAAGGGAAAAAGTTTTTTTTTATTATGTTAATAGTACCTATGGTAGGAAATAAATAGATTTGTCAAATTTGATCCAAATATGATTGATTTATAAACAAGCTCTGCGATTTGAAATATATTCTGATTTCAGAGATTTAAAATATAAAACTTTTCAATTCAGGATAAAAACCCAACATTTAGTTACAACGCCAATGTTTATAATGAAAGAATAAAAAATAAAATATAAATACTCTTACTTAGATTTGTTGTTAATCAGTCTTACCTTAAAATGAAACCACAGCCTATAATCCTGCTACTGATTTCAATGAAATTAAATTTGTGCTTTCCTAGTTAGTAATGCTCTTAAAGCTAGGAGTTTAATTTTTAAAAATCCCCCCTCAAAGATATTAATACAATTTTTCTTGTTATTTATACATATATGTTTTACAAGTGTTTAATAGGTCTGTAGTATAAGTAGTTGAACACTCCTCACTCAAGATCACACACACACTGTACATTGGACACTGAATGAATCTGAAACTGTGCCAGTCAGCTGATCAAATTCTGCTTGCTTGTTTGTTTACAAACATCAAACATACATATTGTGATTTGATTTGACCAGTCCCTATTTCTGGCTTTCTTATTTCATTTGTACCCTGAAATAACAACTCGAGTTTGGCTTATAAAAAATTTCAATTTTATGAATGCGTATCAGTGTTTTTTTTTGTTTTAGCGAATTTCCCTATAGGGAAGTAGCTATTACCGTAGGTGGCACGGTAAGACCTAGACCCGGGACCGATTGACTTTTTCATTTTGATGTCCCCAGAGGCCAAAAACACCATTCGTTCAAATTTTTATATATGTATATATATATATAGACTTATATATATAGACTTATATGTATATATATATATATGTATACGTCCGTGAACGCGATAACTTGAGTAATTTTTGTCCGATTTGGATGAAATTTGGTTTAAAGGTGTTAAGCAGGATAAACTTGAATGAGTTCGAGAACCAGCACGATCGGACAATGGGAACGGGGCTTTACGGGGGGTTTTATGGGGTAAAAATTGGTTTTTCTCACTTTTGACCCTCAGAACACAAAATTTCCCGATTTCTCTTTAGACCTTTTTAAAGAGCTTAAAAAAACAAATAATTTAGTATTTAAAAGTATTTTTGTTCGATTATTAGTAACGGAGAAAATTAAAAAAATTGTAAATTTAAAATTCCCATGTTATTCTTATGGAGAATATTGTAAAATGTTGTAGTTTGCTTGTTTATGGATATATTTTGATCAAACTTGGCAAATTTATTTATTTTGTACTAAGCTATCAATATTTTACTCAAAAACACACTTTATTAGTTTCCTTGTAGCAGCAAACCTAGGTACTCGTTAAACCTAATGTTATTAAAATATATTTAACTGGAAATTAATTCAGACAAATGGAAATTTGCTTAGTCGGCAGGTTTGCTGCGGCGGGGGTATTTTTTTATAACACCAGTGTTATTTTGGAAGTTTTTTGTTGTTTTAGGTTCATTTACCTTTCTACAGTATAAGTAAGTACTATAGCAAAGATGTGTGATTTGATTTTTAGGACAGAAATTACAAAACAAAATTACATAGTGATCTGAGTAGCCGAGTGGTAATAGTGCTGGGCTTAAAATCTTAAGGACGCTGGTTCTATTCCAAGCAAGATTGTGGACACAAATGCCATTTGTATTGATCTATCAATCAATTATGCTAACAAAAATTCAGTGTTAGTTCCCTTAAAGAATATGTAAACAATGTCGCTGGTGTGGATAAACATAAAATAACGAAATGAAAACACGTTTGCTTTTGGGTTTTAGGTGAGAAGGTATGGCAAGAGGAGAGTACTAGGCATTCTAGATGTATACGGGTTTGAAATGCTAGAGAAGAATGGGTTTGAACAGTTTGTTATCAACTTCTGCAACGAGAAGCTTCATCAGGTCATCATTGAAGCCACTTTGAAGCAGGAGCAGGAAGAGTACCTTAGGGAGGATATTACCTGGACTCCGGTAGATTTCTTCAACAACTCCAATGTCTGTCACATCATAGAAAAGGTAACTCTTTTATATAAAAACAGCAAAGCTTTTTGCCACACAACACTGTTTTAATGGACTTTCCGCACATTAAATTAGTCTGGAAAACAGCTGTTTGCCGCCTGCTTAATGGGATATGATTGCGTATTACTGTACGGTGATGAATTTTACCAGGCACTAGCTGATTATAATTAGCATAATTTTGGTCAATAAACACCTCAGGTATTTCATAAACATAACTAGGGTGATTATCGGCATGGAAAAATGTACAAACTAAAACAAATAAACTTTATTTTTGCACATAAACATCTGTATAATTGCGTAAAGTTTCTTTATCCAAAAAAAGCAAAGTTTATTCTGTAAATAAAAAGTTGCACTTTTTTACATCAACGTTACTGATCAAATAATGTCCAACCCATTCTCCATAATCATTAAAATCTATCCTACTAAAACTTAATTATAAAGATAAAATCACAAAAGTTTGATAATAAAATTAGTCTAACATTGACAAGTGAGTGGTTATCTTAGAGGAGTAATGAATAGGCCTTCCGGTAGTGATTGTTAAGTCCTTATATTAAGTCTGTTGGAGCATTACAGATTTTGACAATTTATTTATTGTTAGATAAGTTTAAGAAAGTAAAGGTGAAAAATATCATACATCACTCGTCTAATATGTTTACCGTACCTTATGGTAAACACCTATTTTCCAGACTAGCAATGTATTATTCTATTAAATATTTATTTTTCTTTCCAATGATTGAATTTTACATATCAAGACTCAATTGGTTCAAGTTCCTGAGATCGTTAGTTGATCACTTTGAAAATTCCTGTAAGATTGTGTGAATTTGTAAATAAGAATATTTGTTTATTTAAATATATATTTAGTTAATAAGTAATAGCATTAATTTATTGTGAAAACTCCTAGATCTACAGAACTACTTCATGTCATAATTTGTGGGATATTTTGCCAGAGGTTAAAAATTTGGTTTATATTTATTATTAAGGCCTAAAGTGACCTTCTTTCTTTGGGAGTAAGCTGGTCTAGTGGTAGAGCTTGAGGCTTCAGAGCCCGAGGTCCTAGGTTCAAATCCCGCCAATCAACAATGGATTTTATTCATGTGATAATGCTGCGACCCTCTAGGACTAGCCTGGAATAATGTAATGTATAAAACAGTTCTGGGTTAGAAAAAGTTGGGGACCTTCTATTAATTACAACAAACCAAAACCACAACCAAAATTAAGGGGACATGGCATTTTCTGTACAACAGTTGTTTTTCACTTTAGTGGGTGAAATTGAATTTTAAAACTTTATTCACAAAATCAATTTCTTAAAATAGTTGATACGGTAGTTATTTTCTGAATTTTATCTTAACTAAGCTATTAAATCCATATCGTTGTCTGTTCCATTACATTCCCTTGGCCAAGCCTGGCAAACTAAACGAACCACAGCAGACAATTCCCACAACCTAGCTAATTTTCCAATTTAATTTAATTTATTATTATGATCAGTTAACTAGGGTTTCGGTTTAACAGGTGGAGTTAAAAGGTGTTTACTATAATAATTACTTTCTGCTATCAATCTAATACATAATTTGTAGGATCTATTTTAGTTACTTCTATTTGCCTATGTTTGTCTACAACATTGACCCTCTTTTAAACCATGGAGTAGTTCAAATTTTCAATGTTTCCTCTTCCTGTGACTTGAGTTTTTAGTCAAATGCAGGTTTACAATTGAGATGAACTGAATGCATATCAAAAAGAACTCTTAGACCTTGAAAGTCCTCGCAAAGGGTAAATTTTTAGGGAGATATATACTAGCTTCTCAGAACAATTAACATATTCTTAAATTTTTTAACACAAGTTTTGAGGTTACCATCTGGTTTGGGATCTTTCCAAGACGTAGCTTGTAGTTGATACAATGTATACCCTTGTTTATATTTATTATGTTCTACTGTTATCTATATAATAAAGAATGAAGATGCATTCCTCAAAGTTAATCTTATGTTTTAAAACTGAGCTCCTCATTGACAGTAATGTGAGTTATATCCTCTACTGCCATATCTGCAACTGATAATCTTGGGGACAAAGTGAGAAAAATATACATTATTATTAGGTAAATTACAAGGGAGAGTTATGTAAAAACATTGTAGGCCTACCAGATCATGAGTATTATTCATAAAAGTTACCAAAATAGCCTAGACGGTTTTAATGAAATCACTTGTTTTTTAAGTATTTAAGATATAAAATTTATAATTATGGCCATCTTGAATTAGTACAAATTACAAATTTGACATTTTGTACAAAAATATGTCCTATGTGCTAAGTTCAAAGTGAATCGCTGAAGTAGTTCAAATTTCAAATGTTATGGATTAATTTATGAACAACTTAAACAAACAGACGGGTAGGAAACCAGTTAGGCTATTTGGTTTGTTCTGATTGCGGTAATGTTATATGATGTTTTTTATTGCCTCAACCTAAGGAAAGGAACAAATACACAAAATCGTTCCAGGGAATTTGTATACATCTTGTATAAAAAACAATTTAACAGTAAAAAATCCTAATTCATTTTAAAAACCAAGTAACTTGATTACCAACTAAAAATTAAAATAACTCACCACAATGTAAGTCCAACTTGAGTGTAATTTTTTACTGGTAATCCAGATGAAATTATTGTAAACTCACATGTCAATAGACTTCCCTCCCTATGCATCTTGTCTTGGTTATTTGACTCCAAAGATAAAAACCTTGTTGTGATTCACTAACAGTTTTGTTAAGTAGCACTCCACCCCCATTATAATTTGGTTTTGTTAATGCAATAATGCAACATGGTTTTAGCAGTAAAAGTGTTTAAGATCCATTGAAAAACAAAGTGAAAACTCTTTGAGCTATTTCAACCTGTCATATAGATCACAGTAAGATGGTTGCTACATCAAAACATCTCTTGTCTAATCTACAGATTCTACTTATCTGCTGATAAGTAGGTTAGAGTTTTTATTTAATGGCCATTTAGTCATCATGTTTGGTTTTAATGTTAACACAATTTTCAAATGTAATGAGTAGATTTAGCATTTTAATAGACAACTTGTTTAATTTAACAAATAGTCACATTTAGCGGCATGGTTTTTTTTTTTAATTTACCAACTTCAAATTGTTTGTTCCAAAAGACAATGTAATGTTGGGCAGTTATTGAACTAAAGTAGTAAGCTAGAAACTAAAAAATATAAATATTTCTTTAAACTCAAAACATTTATAGATCATTTTACATAAACTCAAGATTATATCAATAATTCAATAAATCGACTTTCCTTCCATACTAATTAAAATTTCTACTTGTTAGTCTTAGTATCATGACGTCTACTATACAAGTGTGCAATCTTGTTTTTTGATGTTGAATATTATTTACTCAGCAGTCAACTACCTAGATTTGTTTGCAGTTTGCAGTCAACTCAAATTTTCAGTTTGAAGTATGGTTAGTTAAGTGGTTGCTTCAAACTATTAAATCAATTAAAATTAGACGGATCATATATTTCAATTTTAAATCCAAGAAAGTAACATGGAATTAACTTAGGCTACTTCAAGGTTCCTGAGACAGATAAATATTTTTATTTCTACAAACCATTGTAAAAACAGTTAAATAAATTATTGGACTCACAATATTTAATATAAATAGCTGCAACTTTACCAGCACAGCTCAATACTCCCAGCAATACAAAATCTTTTCTTTTTTATTGCCTTTCAGATTACTTAAGCTGCCATTTTCTACATGGCGGCCATCTTTGAAATTTCTTATGGAACACCCTAAGAATATTTGTTCATGTTTTCGAATAGAATATGCAATTCAAAAACTTTTTTATTCCTGACATTTTTTCTATAAGCCCATTTGTTTAGGAGTTAAAGCCTATGAAAAATACTTTCGGTGTACATTTTACATCATGTAGCTCCCAAACGAGTAGGTTTACAGCGAAAATGTGATAAGTAATTAAGTCTTAAAATTGCATCCACATAAAATACGTAAGAAATATTAATTCTATTATTTCAAAAATGACGGACATTTTCCAAAAACTCTTTGCATTTTTGCTCTAAACTTACTCGTTTAGGAGCTACATGATGTAAAATGTACACCGGAAGTAATTTTTTCATAGGCTGTAACTCCTAAATGAGTGGATTTATAGAAAAAATGTCAAGAATAAAAAGTTTTTATAAAATGTTCTATCCAAAAACATGATAAAATATAGGGTGTTCCATAAGAAATTTTAAAGTTGGTCACCATATTGGAAAATGGCTGCTGAATTTCAAAAAACTAAATTAACAATTTTGACTGCCACAAAAAATAATGGGATGTCCCCCATTTAAAGTTTTCTCTAATTCTTACCGTTTCCAATATCCCAATAATGGCCTCCTTGAGTTGATCACCCTGTATATGGTACAATATTTGGCCAGCCGCACTCCCTGACCAAACCGGGTATAATCGTCCATGGCATAGTGGCAGCTTAGAAATGGCATGGTGGCAGCTTAGAAATAGCAGAGTTATCAGGTTTAAAACGAAAACTGTTGAAATATTCATTAGTAGTTATTTAATAGTTATTGATATTGATTCTTGACCTTATTGAATCTTGTTTGTTGACACCCAGAACAACCATGGAATTCTGTCAATCTTGGATGAAGAGAGTAGTAAAGCAAATGTGTCGGATGAAGTGTTCTTATCACGGGTTCAAGCACTTTGTGGTCACAGCCACACGACGCCAGAGAGAAGAAACCGCCACACGTCAACATCGGATAACAGCCTACCTCCCAATTGTTTCAGGTAGGTCTATGACTCAAATTAAAGAAAAAATGTAATTTCTTGAGTTTAGTATCCAGATTGCATTTGAATTCTAAATAATTGGTATACATACCTGTATTTACACGTTCCATAATCATGCCTCAGCCTCTTGTTTACTGTTTATCATTGAAGATGACAAGTTTACGATGTTTAATGAACTATTGCAGACATTTGTAATGGAGGCTGAATAAAATATAAGTATTACGACATTTCAGGAATGATCCTCACCCCAATTTTCAGATAGGAAGGTACCTTGAATATGCAAAAATCAAGCAGAGCTGGGAAACAAAAGCTATAAACATTTTTGGAGTAGGTATTTCAAACTGAAAAATACTTGTAGCTCAAGCCCAAGGAATGTAACGTTATAAAACTCAACATAATATTTATAATATTATAGGGTGTTGTGTTTTAGATTTCCATATTTCCTTTTTGTTAGCCTGTTTTATTTGACTGCTCCAAATTTTTGTTTTCAGCTATAGTGTTTCCCAATGCTAACTGGTTTTGTACACAAATCTTTTTTTCTTCTCGGTTCTTTCCCATCAGAAAATGGGTTAAGATCCCAGGCCCTGAAACGATGCCCGGGGAAACTATCTAGATAATCAGTGATAGACTATGTCTGCAACATTGACTGTACTATAAAATTATGATTGTATTTTTCATCGAGATCTGATTCATATAAAGCTAATCCCCAATGAATGATAATGCTTCTAGGTTGAGACACTTTGCTGGCACTGTGACTTACAATGTGACAGGCTTCATAGAGAAAAACAATGACTTCCTACCTCGGGACATTTCAATGGCCATGCACCGATGTCAACACCCGCTGCTCAAAACACTCTTTCCTGAAGGTATGAAATGTCAGTAGTTGATAGCTAGCTCTTGTTAACTACAATTCTATACCTACTCAAGAATATTTAATATATGATAGCCTAGAAGTCGTTCAAAATCGTTAAAATAAATTTTTAGACACATATTTTTTACTAATCAAAATTAAAAGATTTTAGGCACGAATAACCCATTTCTAATGGATGAAGCAGACTATCATACTGTTTTAAGTTGTTATAAATGATTTATATATGTCATTCAGGTAACCCGAAGAGGGCTTGTGTTAAGAGACCAGTTACAACCGGGACACAGTTCAAGATAGCCATTCAGGGACTAGTACGCAATCTAACCACAAAGCAACCGCACTATGTTAGGTGCATCAAGCCTAATGAGCTCAAACAACCCCGGATTTTTGAAATGGCCTTAGTTCAACATCAAGTTAGATATTTAGGGTAAGTATCCCCTACCTAAGTAGTTCAAGTACCTTTTAAGTTTCTAACTCCTAAATATTAAATCTTTCATCTAATGGAAGAAAGACCATTTAATTTATACCTTACAGATTTTTTTCACCTTTTCGGCTATTAATTAGAGCTTGTCATAACGGTAAGTAATGATGAAACAGTAGGAGAAGCTAATTTTGTATTTAACAGTAAATGTTATTTATATTTAAACATTTACATTGCAAACTCATTTTTTAACACTTTCCAAAACAACCAACGATATGGAAAGTGGCACTTAAAACAGGGACCTAGTTTGTATCCTTTTATAACTACATTCCGTCCACAACGTTCATGCGGTTTTCGGGGAATAAATCCATTCCCTCCACTTGATCTTCCTTTAAAACCATAACTCAACAACTGAGATTTGCCACTACGTCAGTCAGCTACAACATACATTAATAAAAAAAGTAGTAGGGGAACTTCCACTCTCAAATTGCCCAAATACATATTTTATTTTATTAAATATAAAGTTAAAGATCACCAAAGATTGGAAAATGAAATGTCTTCATTCAAAGTAAACATTCTACTCACCAGAAACAAGCTATTCTTCTTCTTGCTTTCTGAAAGACAGTTGCACAAAATGTTTTTATGCCGGCTGAACAGGATTCAGTTTAATGAGTATAGTAGTTGATAAACATGGGAAAAAAGTTTTGTTTGTGACATTGTGATTGTGAAGCAATTTTTTTTAGTGTCCTCATTTTTCATAGTACAGTCCCTGCCAAATTCGGCAGCTGGGAAAATGACTGTACCTAACCCATTTGTGTGATAAGTTGGTGCCATAAAATACAGTAGTATTCAGCAGCAAAATTTGGGAGCTAGGCAAACATTCCTTTACAAACTGTAAACAAAAATCACTTTCTGGTAGTATTTCAAAGTCTGATTTGTTGTTTGTGGTAGACTTCTGGAGACAGTTCGGTTGAGAAGATGTGGGTTCTGCTTCCGCCTGACCTACACCCAGTTCCTGACCAGGTATAAGATGCTCTCCTTGCAGACATGGCCCTGCTGGGTAGGCACTCCAGTTGAAGGGGTGTCCTACCTTCTGAGAGACCTCCCCATCCCTCCTGCCGAGTTTGCCTTTGGACGCAGCAAGATATTTGTTCGTAGTCCTAGATCTGTAAGTGCCTGTTTTACATTTATATTTGATCATTTTTAAATATTAAGATCCAATTAAAACTGTAACACCTAAATTAACTTAATTTCCTTTGCTGATACGGTACCTATTATTGTGTAGTCACCATAACAAGACCTATGTGACGATAATTTTCAATTTGAATTTTTATGTCCCTACACACCAAAAGCCCCTTTTGATGGTATTTTTATATGCCTGACTCAAGTAAAAGCTATCCAATTAAGAATGTTTTGTCGACCAACATCTGTTTTATTATTACAAAAAATTTAAATATTGATCACTATTTAATTTCAGAAAGAGAAAACATATTTTGTTTATTACATTATTGTCTATTTATTATTGATGTATCAAACAATTCATAATTTAGTTTGTTATTTATTTCCTTTTTTATCATGTAATTACTTGTTTATGGACATATTTTTATGAATCTTCATTTTAGTTTATTAATAAATAAAATTGATTATTTTTGTAGCAATCTAAGCACCAATTCGACGCTTGCAAGACAAAGGGACAAAGGGGTATATATGTGATATCGTGATATTTCAGTCCAGAGAGCCAAAACACCCTAGACTGGGACTGTTATAGAATCAGGTCCTCTTCAGCCTTGATGTAACTTTGCCCCTTTATCTTGCAAGCGACAAATTCAGTCAATGTTATTTTTATTAGACAAGGATCTAAGTGATATTTTTTTATAGGAAGCCATTAGATATTCCCTTATTTGTAGGTATATACTGTTGGTGGTATTTGCATCAAAAAGGGGATAGCAAATTATAAGTTAAGTTGCAAGTTTAATCAACACTCTGAGTTAAAGTTGTATATTCCACTATCCTTGTACAACTTTAATGTGGTGAATAGAGAATGTTTTGTAGTTGCATTAGTCTTAATTGAAAATTCTATTGAACCAGGTTTTTTATTACATTTGAACATGAATAAAGCAGATTACCATTTATAGGTATTTGAACTAGAAGAATTCAGAAGAGAAAGATTAGAAGACCTAGCAACACTTATTCAAAAGATCTGGAGAGGGTATAGAGAAAGAAAGCATTTTTTAAGAAAAAAGAGAAGTCAAATCATCATTGCAGCTGCTTGGAGAAGTTGGAGGGTAAATTCACTAAATTGTATAGTTTATAACACCTTGTTCTTCTAATTTATAGTTTAGTAGAAAACATTTATAAAAGTAGTCATTGTGTTCTGTCAAATTGGATTTTTTCAGTTAATTATTATAATTTGTATTACACCACCATATGTGGCAATGTTTTCTAGGGTGAATCCATCATCATTATTTATTTTATTTGAGTATCCAATTAGTTCCTAATAAAATGGTTCGTTTACTCTATCATTGGCAAACTTTGCCAATATTCACAAGTACGCCAAATGGACTTTTGAAATATGGAACAGATGTTAAAAATGCATGTTTTCCATTCTTTTTGCATAAAATTCTTGTTTTCATTTTGTGTTGATTTTATTGTTATAAATTTGAGGTAACCATGATCTTGCAGTGTGTACAGTTATTATTTTTTCTATAAAACTCAACTAGAAATCTGTTTTGAAATTAGAAAGTTTGTTGAATTATTCATATTAGGGTTTTAAGTGGAAATAATTCTCTAAATGGTGAAACTTTGCACATGTGTAGTACTAGTACCCAGTAACAACATATCAAAAATCAACATTGGTGCATGCTGTGCTACAAAATGCCATCTTGGAAAAATGGGAGCCGATTTTCACTTTTTTGCCCATATTTCACTTAACCATTGGAAATACAGAAATATTGTTCTAACAGAAGTTAAAAACCACAAAAATACATCTTTTACTCATTTACATATTTGCCCTATCTCTAAAGGTTATTGAGATAAATTAAAATTAATATTATTTTAAAAAAACATTAAATTTGTTTGATATATATATAGAGAGAGATATGTCCGTGAACACGATAACTCAAGTAATTTTTGTCCGATTTTGATAAAATTGGGCTTGAAGCTGTACGGTGGGATAACTTTGAATGGGTTCACGAAACACCATGTTCGGATCATGGCAACGGGGTTTTATAGAGGCTTTTATGGGGTAAAAATTGTTTTTTTTTATTTTTAACCCTCAAAACACAAAATTTCCCAATTTCTTGACCATTTTGAAGAGCTTAAGAAAACAAATAATTTGGTATTAAAGTTTTTTGTACGCTTATTGGTTACGGAGAAAATTCAAACAGTTGTAAATTTAAAATCCCTATGTTATTCTTAAGGTCCAATTCCTATCCTGCGACTGTAACGACTCTAGTCGCGCGGTTGAAAAATTGAATGCTTCAATGCAAAGTAAATGCAACACATTCCTATCGAGCGTCTACAGCCGCAAGGCTGTAACGAATTTATAGTTTATACATACGGAGTTTGAGGTGTGTACCTTCATAAAGAAATCAAACAAAATAATTTTTTTTTTTATATTAATTTCAATTCATCTCAATAACCAGTAGAGATAGGACAAATATGTAAATAAGTAAAAGATGTATTTTGGTGTCTTTAAATTTTGTTTGAACAAGATTTCTGTATTTCCAACCGTTAGTGAAAAATGTGAAAAAAGTGAAAATTACTAGTAGCACAGCATGCACGATATACTAGTACTACATATGTGCTAAGTTTCACCACTTAAGAAATTATTTCCAGGTAGAGGGGTATTTTTACCTAAAATGACTGGACTAATACTAAAGAAACTCATTTTACTCACTTTTCAATTAATAATGTACATACAGCATCGCAAAAAAGAATAATTTTGTAATGCATCTACATGAAAATAGCAACCGTTGGCTAAGTATATTTTTTACTTATTCAAAGCATTAATAATAATACTACAGGTGTATCTCCTTTGCCTTAAACTATTTTACATTTTTATTTTGATGTTTTGGATAGTAGTTATTGAGGATTTTAAACTTCAAACAACTCAATGTTTCCTGGATGCTAGTTTTAGAACATTAGATAGACAAATGTATAGAATTTGTTCTTTAAATCATTAATACAGGAAGCGGCAAAATGATCTGACGGTTTTCTTTGCCACCCTGTCGAGCAAGTGAGTGGCGGAGGGTGGTGGGAATAGGGGTGTTCCAAAGCCTACGTGCGGACATTTTAGTATCCATAGAGCTGTGGACAGCTGAGCACTATGCATTTGTAGTGGAAGAGTTTATTATTTTTTTTTTTTTTTTGCATTTCCTGTGTAGCTGTTCAGCGGCAGTTCTGTAAACGTTTTAATATGAGTCCAAGGGGAAAAGTCCCAACTCGAAACACCATTTTGCTGAGGTTGGGTAACTTCAGAGCTACTAGTTTAGCATTGAATAAAATTCAACAGGCCGTCCAAGGTCAGCCCGGACGCCAGAGAACTCGACAGAATGAGAGCAGCTGTGGAAGATAGTCTTCAGCGGCCTGCACGTAAATAAGCTGCAGCTCTGCACATGGGTGGCTACTCGGTAGAGGAGAGTTACGATACGACCTGCACTTTCATTCATACAAAATGGCAATCGTAGAACAGTTAAAGCCCAGTGGTTATGCAAAGCTAATCTCATTTTCAGAACAAGTGATTGGTTTGCTTACACGTGAAAAAATTGTCATTATGAACGACGAATCACACTTTCAACTACACCACACAGTCTTCCTCACACTCTTGACGTTCTCTGGTGTCCGGGCTGACCTTAAATGGCCTGTTGATTTTGTTTTCAATGCTGAACTAGTAGCTATAAAGCTACGCACCCACAGCAAAATCGAGTTTCGAATTTTTGTCTTTGACCCACATTGAAACGTCTACAAATCAAGTCTACGGTTATCATTTTGCCGCTTCCTGTATTAATGATTTAAAGAACAAATTCTATAAATTTGAATTGGGACTTTTAAAAACAACTCCACTACAAATACATGGTGCTCAGCCTTCCACAGCTCCAAGGCTACTAAAAATGTCCACACGTTGGCTTTGTAACGCCCTTATTCCCACCAACCTCCGCCACTCACTTGCTCGACAGGGCAGCAAAGAAAACCATAAGGTCATTTTGCCGCTCCTGTATATTACCTAAAACAAAATGCTATGATGATGTTATTGTAGTTATCTTTAGTATCAATGAATGTTTTATATTTATTTATATGTTCCATTGATAGTTTGACGACTTCAGTTATATGTTTATGTTTCTGCATGGTTTGTTTGTTGCATGAAGGAATGTCGGTTTGGTGTACCTTTTCAAGGAAGACGGCACTTGTGGTGTCTTTACCGTGTGGTAAGTATCTTACATCCAAGGGCATCTTTTGTTTTTAAAAATTTCAATTTCAATTTAAATGATTTACGCTTATTTGCAGTTACTAATCAGATCCATAGAATACTAACTCAATCCATCAATTAATGATCTTAAACAATGTGCTTGATTACATTAATACATTTCATAAGTATGCTAGCATCCTTGTATTACCAAACCTTTGACAAATTTGTAACCACCCTGTCACAGCCTCAAAATGAAAAAAATAGAATAATATTTAAAACTAAAATCCCCCACTACAGCACACCTGCAGACAAAGTGAATATCCATTAGCCTGATTGGATTTCATTCAAACACTTCTTGAAATATGTAATACTCATTCCTTATTTAATTAATATTAGGTTAAACAAATACATTTGTTTGATGCCACTGGGAAATTGTCAAAAGTGTGATTTCAAGTTAAACGTTAATAACTTAAGATGAAATATATAAATTACAAATATATAAATAAACAGTTTACTTATTCTCCTTAAGAATAACATGGGAATTTTATATTAACAGTTTTATGGAATTTTCTTCGTAAACATTAAACATACAACTACGCTTCAATATTCTAAATTATTTCTTTCTTTTAAGGTCTACAAAAGAATTTGGAACACAATTGTAAAATTGTATGTTTTTTGTGTGAAAAGTGGGAATACTATATACCCCATTAAACCCCGTTACCATAGTATGAATATATTTTTGGCCACTGGGGACATTAAAACAAAAAAGTAAATCGGTCCTGGGTCCAGGTCTTAGCACAAGACCTACGGTAAGTCAGCAAAAGTTTAGCATTAAAGCTTTTGAAATTGTTTGCTAGCTTCGAGGATATAGAAGAATAAACATAAACTTATTTACCAATCTCCTTTTAATACTTTGTTACCTATTTTGTTTTCTTTACAATAATTTTGATTTCACATCACATATCATTTCTAGGTAGGTGATTTGTCATGAAGTCTAATTTAGATATCTATCTATCTATCTATATATTTAATAGACCAATATAAACTTTGTGATAATTATTTTGAAGCTGTTAGTAACCAATCACCGTGTTCAAGGTGACGTTGGATAGGTCGTGGTACGTAGATTTGCCACCAGATAAAAATGTTTATTATTCCTTCAGGGCCCTTCCCCAGTGGCCTTCCAAGTTCCCATGTTATCCTTATGGAGAAAAGGTTTGTTTACATTTGAACACATGAATTACTTTTAACTGTACTCTGTTGTTTGGATATTATTTAAATTTGATGAATGTATGGAAAGTTGGAAACATTCTAAAACAAAAACATGCTACATTTGCTATAAAGATTTTTTAAATTAGTTAAAACATATAGTAATAGTACAGGGTGGTAAAAAAGTCCCTGGACAGTTAAATATTTTAAAAAATAAAGTAGATAGAGCTACAATACTTGGTACAAAGTTACAGGGCATAAAACTCTATTTTAACACATATTCAGTGATCCAATAACTCTTCAGGGGGACGGCCCACAAGGAGTCAGAAGAAAATCTTAAATGGAAGCATAGGTCAATATGCACATCAAATTAAAGGTCTTTTTTAGTAGAATACAATGCCGCAAATCGCACTTCAAAAGGTTGATCCTGCGCAAAATGACAGTTGTTCAAAGATTCATTATATTTACATTGCTATTATACGCTTACTCCTCAGGGGGTACAGCCTTAGGAATCGGAAGAAAATTGTTAACGTAAGCATAGGTCGATGTGCACATCAAATTAAAGGTCTTCACTAGTAGATTACGATGCCGTAAATTCAAGCTCAAAAGAATGCCTGAGTAAAAAATGGCAGTCGTTCAAAGATTCAAAATGGCGGATTCAAGAAATCTTTGAACATCTGCCATTTTGTGCATGATCAACCTTTTGAAGTGCGGTTTGCGGTATTGTATTCTACTAAAAAAGACCTTTAATTTGATGTGCATATTGACCTATGCTTCCATTTAAGATTTTCTTCCGACTCCTTGTGGGCCGTCCCCCTGAAGAGTTATTGGATCACTGAATATGTATTAAAATAGAGTTTTATGCCCTGCAACTTTGTACCAAGTATTGCAGCTCTATCTACATTATTTTTTTAAAATATTTAACTGTCCAGGGACTTTTTTACCACCCTGTATAGTAAATAGTAATAGTAAAATATTTACACTATTGGTTGTGTTTTTAAGTCCTGTGATTTACTGCAACTTTATTACAGGATACTTTTAAATTTGTGGAGGATATCAATGTCTAGGGATCAATTATTTTTTCGAGTTTCATCATATGGAATAACTAATTTACTGTATTTAAAGTGCAATTAACATACTAATTGTTTTGCAGGCAAGAGAAGAGTATCGAATCCTCAAAAGAAGAAAACAGATAGAATGGGCTGTTGGAGTTATCCAAAGGCATTTCATCATGTGGAAAGTGAGTTATCTAATTTAGGTTACCAACCCGTTGACGTCGAGTCACGTGTTCAGATTTTGCAGCGAATTACTTGAATTGCTAACCCGCTGGCCTTAGGCGTTGCGAGGCTCTGTGCAAACATTCAGAGCGGGGCCTCTTACTACTGAAAAGTAATCCCCCCCCATTCACCATACTTTTGCTCAGGCTCATAGGATGATTTTTTTGTGATATATTTACATACTAATCTTGGTATGGTATGTTTTATATTTATATGCCTCAGGCTGTATATTATAAGACATAGCATGAGTAGCTTTGGGGTAATGGGTAAAAACATTATAACATTAGTGCTTAACCCTGAATTTAATATTTTAGAACGTACTAGTATAACAATCTGTTCGCTCCGTTATTTACTTAAATCAGTTATTTTAAATCAGTATTAAATTTACAATTGAGTTTCATATCTGTCAACGACATCATACCAGCAGCAATTTCCATGACCCTTTCCCGCAATATTGGCAACGTCTGATCATCTCCAGCGATCATGGCAACATCTACGATGATTTCCCATCTCCCGCGGCGAGTGTAGCAACAACTGCAATAAAATTTGTGTGGTTGTGGTACAAAACTTGTTTTATAACAAGGACACAGACTTTTATTTTTTTGCTTTTAATTTTATTAAACATGTTCATATTCTGCTGAAATAAATACATGATAAAAAACATAAGGTCATAACCTAAAAAAATAATTAATAGAAAAATAAAACATATTCTGGCATCAATGGGGGAATACATTAAAAATTTGCATTGCTAAACACTTGTTTGAGGGTATACTAAGGTTAAGTAAGGTATATTGTGTAAAAACCCCCAATCAATAGTTAGTACGCTTAGGCCTACTTCATCAAAATATTTAACCCTCTGAGTGTTAGGTCAATAATTTGTATTTTGTAAGACTTTTTTGTTTGCCTTTAACATTCAATTACCTGTTGTTAAATTGTAACTGTTGTTCTCACTTTTGTATTAATGAGGCTAATTTGGAATAATAGGAAGTCAATAACAAATATATAACAAAGAAAAGTCTTGGTATTTGCAGTAAACATTAAATAAGACTGTATTTTCGTGGTAAATTTCCAAGTTATTTCTGAGAGCATTATTTGAAACCGAAAAAAATCAAATCAAAAGACACCTAGTTTACAACATAATATTGAACTAAACCTTGATTTAGTTTGATAGTGTAATATATTATAATCCTGTATGTTTGTCAGTCAAGCCTCAGTAACACCATTTGTGATCACTGTTGTGGTTCAGCTTAAAATAACATCAAAGAATAACTAGCTGCTACCTAGTAACGCATTGAACAACTAGGTTGTAGGGGCCGTCGGTAGCACCAGCCGTTAGCAGTTGTTGATGTCATCTTAAATACCAGTTTTTACTCCATATTCATTCTCCAAGCATAGATAGTCGAGAAGGCTAGGGCGTGTGTCACTTGGCCAGTGACATTCGTTTGTTTGGATCGATTCCCGTCCTGTGTAGCAAATAATTGGTGACCTGTGTGTTTGTAGCAATATACTACAACCACTGGGGCATAGTGAGGTGTTCACTGTTCATTATCCTTGGTTTAGACATACACCTAGAATCATCGGATTGTTCGAATCTTTAAGCTAAGTGGTTGTTAGTGTATCCTATAAACATGCAGGTCACCAATGGCCGTTTTGCTACTTTTTGCTAAAATGACCTTCCTCTCTATATCCCTTAGAGATTTTAGTAAACCATGACATATCTTTGCACAGCACTCAAAGGGTTGAATGGTTTGTGATAAGATTACATTTTACCATACAGATTGTACATAACAACTTTATAGTTATCATCTAGTCTGTGGAACAATCAAGATAATCTCTCTCGCAGTCAATATAAAAAATTCACCTGTGGTTTTGGCGTTTTATGAAGTAGCTGTTTCAGTTCAGTTCTTAGAATGGAAAAGTTTCACATAGCATAACAGCATTGTTTACTTTCATAACAGCATAGTTTTTCATAACAACACGGGTAACGGACCAGTTAGGTTCAAGGATTGAGATAGAATAAGTAAAATTCAAAAATTGTTATGATTCGAACTTCAACTAATCAGCTCTTCAGGCTAATTTAATTGTTGAGTGGTGCAATTAGTGTTTGGTACAATGTTACATTGCATCACTGTAAGTGGCAATTAGAGGTAATAAGCGAAAACATAACCTCTCTTAAAAGTCATGAGTAGTGATTTTTAGTAGTTAAAACACTGTTGTAGGTAAAGTAGTGTATGCAACTCGCGTAGATAGTGTTTACGCAATCGTTGCGTAAACTACTATAAATTGTGAATTTCAAATTTTAATTCTTTTACTTGTCTGATTAAGTTTGCAAGAGATACAGGTAATAATAACATGTTTATTATTCAATCAAAACTGAAATACATTTGACTCCTGACCTTACTTAATAACATGATATGTGACTAATATATTTAAACGTAAACATATATTTTTTAATAATAATAATAGGTTAAATACCTTGTATACGTCCTCAATCCAAGTCGTCTTTTACAATGACTATAGTTTCGGGGCCAACAGCCCCATTGTCAAATTTTCTGTCTTGTTAATTACTGTTTATAGCATTGGTCACCGTTGAAGTTCACATATACACATACACTGACACACGGAACATTTATATTTACACGTAACATTGAAAAATTATACTTTTTGGCCGGCCTAAACAAAAGTGATTACATCGTTGTGCGGACCGGTACACTGACTCAAATATATTTTTTTTATAAACATGAAATACTCAAATAAATTAAACTCCTGACACTGACATCAAAAACATGAATGAGATTAATACTTACCCTAAAACATATTATAACATAACTTTTATTTTTTTAATCAATAAAATATATGATTTATATATTTTTTATAAACAATAAACACTAAAATAAATTAAACTCCTGACACTGATATCGAAAACATGAATGAGATTAATACTTACTCTAAACATATTATAACATCACTTCTATTGTTTTCAAATCAATAAAATAAGAAGAATTTTGGATCGAGGAACACGTCAATCAAATCTCAAAACTGAAGCTTTTCCTAAGTATTGGTGATTTTGAGCTTTGTATTGTTAGATAAGGCTCTTTAGAATGCATGCAAACTCAATGGCTCAGTCAGGTACATAGATATACGAGTAGGCCAATAAATTTGAATTTATGTGTTTATTGAAATGTTAACGTTATCGTTACAGAGAAGGCAGATGTTGATACGACTGAGCCAACAGTTAACCCTGGAGACTGAGTCGCCTGTGTGTAGAGATTGGCCTCCCTGTCACCCTCGGCTGTCAGACACCAACATGCTGTTGTGCCGCTTGCATCACAAGTGGAGGGTAAGGGCACTAATGCTAGCAATGTGATAAGCATCAGTGCATTAGCACAATGTAAAATCTATTGTGGAGGCTATAGGCTATACAAGCGGGAGTGTCATCGACTGAGCGCTGCTAGTGCGACATGACATGCTAACACCGCGACAGACACAACGCAGACCAGTTTACACAGCATTGTTCAAAGCACCTATTGCACAGATGTAGTCTGAGGTTTAACTCTCATAAACATTACAGATTAAGAGCTACAATTACAATTATCATTTTCGACTAAGATAGCCAAGCAACTAGTGCTGGACCACTAGTTTTAGTAAAAAATATACATTTTATAAAACACTCAGAAGTAGGGATGGACGAGATTGGATTTTTTATTTCTCATAAAATGTTGAGACAAGACGGGAATTCCTTTTTCATACATACAGGAAATGCAAGTTCAACATTTTAACCTGAATTTGTAACATTGTTAAATACCTACTGATTTATGACAGATAACTGGTTAAATACAAAAAAAATAATCATAGCATTGAGTATACACGTACAAGAGTTGTCACATAATGCTATTAGTTGTTACGGATTTTGGCTACGTAGTTCGGGCCGCTGACGCTTGGGTCGCGGTAGTCTGTCGGTAGTGCAATGCGCCTCTGAGGACGTTTTAACCATTTAGTAGGGGTGTGCGAGTACTCGAATCTTCGAGCTTTTTGGTCGAGCTTTTCATTTTTCGGCTCGGCTCGAGGCATTTTGAAAAAGCTTGAAGTTCGAGCCGAGCTTTTAATACTAAGTCAAAACTAAAAAAACACTTAATTTGGGTCATAATTGAAAACAATGTTGTCACAATTCTACGTTGTTCATGCATTCGAGGTTTGATAAGCACGAACCTCAGCTCAGTCAAGACGCAATGATTATCGATCGTAATTTTGAGGAGATAGGAAAGAGACAAACGACCACCTATCGCGTTGTCTCTCTAACAGCTATTCGTATCGTAATATACAACGCAGTGCGAGTGCGTGATTGGCTTGTCGCTATGACGACACACGGTTGCCGTGACAATCTACAGTGCGCACTGAGCACTGTGCCTTGTGTGGGAGGGGAGATTATACCAACAAACAATTTCAGGAATTCTATTTTGGGACGGATGAAAGACAAGGAAGAAACAAAAAGTGGTCACGTGTGCAAATGTAGTGGGCGACACAATATGTAAACGAGTATCGTTGAGTATCGTCGTGTCGTTGTTCCTTGTTTGTTTACTTTTTCAGATTCCTTATCAAACGCCCCTATCTGCTATCTCTCTTTCTCTCTCTCTCTCTCTAACAATGTACTGATTAAACAGATTGTGGTTGACGACTTTCTACTTATAAGTTTCCCTGCAGTTATTTTAGTTCAATCAATCCTATAACCATTCTAATGTTTATCAAAATAATTAATTATCTATTTTGTATTTTATTTCCTTTAAACCAACCCCTATTTACCATATGTATTTTATAGAATAAAATGTTTGTTTATAAAGTTTGACTGGCCACACAATTTTGTACCTTTTTTTATTTTGTATAAAGTAACAGTTACCTCGATGATTATATGTATCAATAAGTGGTGCGTGCTGTAGTGAATGCTTTTTATTATCAAAATAAGTAATGAATTATTAATTTTTGATAATAATACATGGGTCATTGAATACCATAATGTGATGTAGTTTCCTATTTGTAACTTGCAAATAATAATAATTGATAGTTAATTCTGGAAAATGAAAAATAGTGATCACATTCATAAACCTGTTGTCAAAACAGCAACACGGGGAAATAAGAGTTTATTGTTTCATAGGGGTACAAAGGACGTGGGTGTTTCAAGGACAAAGTGTTGGGCCTCCCGGTTTAGGGGGGAGGGGTGGTGGTGAGGCGGCAAGAAGGGGAGGAAACTGGTTTTGGATATTTATTGATTAGTTCCCAGACCCTTCTAGATAACAAAATTGAGTGACAGTGTTAATTCATAGTGTTCTTTATTTCATTTCTTGTTTACTTTGTGTGTTATTCTATTAATTTTAGTGTTTTGGTCTATTTCCTCCATATGTCAATTATATCTTTTTTAATAAATAAGTTTACTTTTTACTTGTCTCTCCACCTTTTTGGATCCAAACCAACTATGTTCTTTTTTTATTAATACGATTGATAAAACTAAAATATTTTGTGCATGGAAAACAACAATAATAATCACGTGTTTTTAAATTTATTTTGTATTTATTTATACAAAATAGAAGTAAATATTCATAGTAGTTACAATATACATAATAATGTAATCAACTTGCTAGTTGTTTTGTCATTCAAGGTCGCGTTGCTGTTCTGTTATGAAAGACAATCTGATTGTCTCAGTCTGCACTGCATATCTCGGCAGGCCTTCAATTATCCTTTTATTTCTTGCATCTTAATTTAGTTCATTTCAGTTCTTATTGTGATTATCTACTATTTGATGTCTTGACAATTCTCAATGTTTTAAACATATTAAAATAACATTGTTTATTTAAAAATTGACTGAACATTATTATTATGCACTTTTTTTAGAAAAAAAGTTTAATAATTTAGAAAAGGTGACGCTACAAAAAGCTCGGCTCGAAAAAGCTCGAGCTCGAAAATTTTTGAAAAAGCTCGGCGCGGCTCGGCTCGAGGTTGAAAATCACTATTCGCACACCCCTATTTAGTATTAAAAATTTATTATAAAACAACGAAACTAGAAACAAACAATGAATTTCATCAACAAAAATTACATTTTACAACCTACAATGAAAGCAATAATAAAAACAACCAAACTGCCTTACCGACAACCCCTAGATGGAGTAGTTCGGACTGCTGACGCTACTCTGGAACAGTGCTGTTCAGGTAACGATAACCTCCATTGAGTGGCTACTCTAGTAGGTGTATACTCAATGATAAAAGGCAAGAACGTTAAAAATCTGTTATTAAAAATCATCAATAAAAACATCAGTATAAAAAAATACAAATATTAATTAGGCATACCTTTTTTAAAATAACTCTTACGAATAGGATACATGGTGATAACAGTTAGGATATAGTTCAACTTTGAAAAACACCAAATTTATCTGTCTGAAACATCAGTCTTGCTAGTTAGTAGTTAAGTATCAAGTAACCATTTTTCTTGTGTTATTTTTAGAATGATTTTGGAGTGACTTGTTTTGGCTATGTTTAAAGTAGTAAAACATGTCTCACACAGCTTACATTTAACAAAACTTCTCACCATTTGCGATGTCAAAACAAAATAATATAAAACAATAAAAAAAGCAATATTTACATGTAAAGAATTAATTAAATAAGAATGCCTTCACAAAGGAAACGCAACAACAACACGCTACTGTATTGCGGGTATTGCAATGACTTTCTGCAGGTTTTTTTAAGTTTTTTTTTTTAATCGTCTCAAAAAAATCTTGATTAAAATCGAATCCCGTCTCGTAGAACGGGATTTGAAATTTTTCTAAATTTTGAGACCCCCCAACCCTACTCAGAAGTATGTATCCTATTTTGATTGTAGATTCAGGTTACAAAAACGTATTATTCGTATTATTACCAACTCTCATCCACGCAGTTCTTGTAAGAAACATTTTCAAAATTTAAGAATTCATACATTAACGGGGTTGTATATTCTAGAATTATTAAATTACATACATTCAGTTAAAAATGAGCTACCAGAAACAATACATTTTAATCACAGGTATGAAACCCGAAATGAAAATATATTTAGACTCCCCAGACACCGTTTGACCCTATATGAAAAATCTCCATTGTACGCTGTGCTGAGATTGTTCAATGTGCTTCCGCCATGCTATAAGTCATTAAGCAAAACCAAATTTAAAGATACAATAGATAATTTTCTTATTGACAAGGCTTTTTACTTAATTGAAGATTTTTACAGAACTACAATTTAGAATTTTTTTTTTTTAAGTGTTTGATTTTAAGTTAAAAGTTTTAATGTTAAATATTTTATGTATGGATTTAATTTTGACAATGCACCTATTCTAAATGTTATGACATGTATGGAATGTTTTGTGCAAATAAAGTCTATGTCTATGTCTATGATGTATTATTTGCTTATATTTAAAAACTGCATAAGTACTAGCGTTTCCAAAATTTATAATAATCCTTAACAACCCAACTGAATGGACTCCACTGTCAATCTTGGAAATAAGAAATTGAAATTGTTGACTTTTAAAATATTAATTTTATCTTCCTCTTTTTTTCTAAGAGATTTTAAGTTACTTAAAAATTAATGTTTCTTTTTTTTCAGTGCCACAAGTACAGATTGAGATTCGACCAGACGGCAAGAAATAGAATGAGAGAAAAAGTAACAGCTAGCATAATTTTCAAAGAAAGAAAAGCCTCATACCCAAGAAGGTAATTGTAACTAACAACAATTATTGATATAAGTTTGTACTGTTTACTTGTACATATTAGGAAGGACTAGAACACTGGATGTATTTTGTTGTTAATATTCCTCCAGGGACATGAATTTAATTGAAATCACAGTGACCACTTTATTTGATTTAACATGATACCAAGCTTTGAACTGTAAACATAGTCTGCTTTTTTACAAAATCTATACTCTATACATATATGTATTGCTGCTTGATAGATGTTTACCCATTCCCGCCTAAATACGGGCGGCGTCCGTCTTAGCGCATCAGGTTACGAATAACTAAAGACGTGCAGTACACCATTTACACGGCACCACTTGTCATGACAACTAGGTTTTTGAAGGGTGGGGGGCCTCACTGGGCCTAGCTCATTGTCCTCAGTTTACTCCCAAAGACAACTAAATTTTGGGGCAATTGTGAGGGCAGTTGTTGTTGTAAACTTTTATTTTATGGCTTGATTGTTTTACTGGTGGTACGTCCTTATAAGGTAATTGTATGTTAAACTTGAGAAAACAGAATTATACAGACGATGTCTACTACTATTACTTAATGACAAATAAAGGTCTTGAATATTTCTACCCTCCATTGGAATATTGAGGTTTTTCTCACATTTGAATACTTTTTCTTACTACAGTGGACTTAGTTTAAAGCTATTCACACAAACCTCAAAGTTATAATTGAAAATAATTTGTTATTATGAAAAGGCACTCCCATCAACAAAGACTATTTTAATTTGATTTGAGCTGTTAAAAAAAAAAAAAAAAAAAAAAAAAAAAAAACAGTTTGTAACCGAGAAATGTATTATTACCGCCTGTGAAAAGGACAATTGTGCTTAAGATATAGTTAATCCTAAGCTTGGGGGATATCACAACAAATTGAGAAACTTGTATGTTATTGTCTAGTGTGGGACACCCTTTCCTTGGTGATTATGTAAGGCTGAGGCAAAATGTCCAATGGAAGAAGATATGTGTAGAGAACAATGATCAGTATGTGGTATTTGCCGACATCATCAATAAGATCACTCGATCTAGTGGGAAGGTAAGTTTTTAGTACAAAAACCTACAATACAACAATCCATAAAACCTTGTGGGAAAGCATTACAGTTTACTAGTGTTTAATTAAACCCACTAGTAATGTGACAATGCCAAGTCCTAACTCTAAAATTAAACTAATTCAACAATCATATTTTATTTTTTTTATTTCATTGCCAATAGCTCATTTCAAAAAATTGGAAAATTTTATATTCTGGTTTTAGAAATTCAAAGCATAGATTGAAAATTCTTGACCATCACTAAAATTTACCACCATTATTTGACCACGACTATTTCATGCCTGGTTATATTTTTCAACAGCAGATTATCAAGCATGTTACTGTGTTATATTTGGTAGCAATGTACAGTTAACTTATTCGCCTACTTTGACAAGGTTTTCTCCTTTCCCAGGATTCTTATTGGTAACAATTAGCCATGCCATCTAAAATTCATAACCAACATGTCACTTTTCAACTATATTAAAAACCCAATATATTCCACGTTTTAGTGTGGCTGCCTTTTGTTAGAGCAACTGGAAGAGTCTGGTATTTTTGACCTGGACGCCAATTCATTTCAATTACCAATGGCAATTTGCTCTGTAAATGCTTGACTTGATTTCCCTAAGCAAGGATTGTCAACAATCCTTGACGTGATTGTTTGTGGACCTAAAGCTGTAGTTCCACGAAAGTCCGCCTATAAAGTATAAACAGATTTCATAAGCAAGGTACTTGATGGGGGTGAAATTAATTATCAAATCACATTATCCCTCTGTCTAATATCTATTGTGTTCAACGTAAATTTAATAAGAGTACGTTGAAATACAATCTGAAAGTAATTAAGTGATATTTTAACTTAAATCTAACTCTTATGATCAAATTCATCATCTGCAACCACAACTCATCGTATCATGTTTGTTTAACAGTTTGTGCCAATCCTGTTTGTGCTATCAACCAGTGCCATGTTGATTCTGGATCAGAGGACTCTGCAGGTTAAGTACCGTGTACCCGCCACCGAGATCTACAGGCTGTCCCTATCTCCCTACCTAGACGATGTTGCTGTCTTCCATGTCAAAGCTGTAAGTCTTATCTTGGCTTCAGCTCATTCAAACATATAATGATTGGTTACAAAAACTACTAAAATGACATATGACAGGTTAATAGCAAAAATAAAATATTATTCTATTTGCTTTCAGCAAGTGTTGAGAAAAATGTTATTGACATCCTTGACAAAATTAATATTGACAGCATGAACATACATTACAGAAGAAACCACACTTTTTCCTTTTACCTTTAATATCAACTTTGAGAACTCGGTGTTTCATTTCATTGCAGCAAAGAATCAAGACGTCTTTGGGGGCTTGTTATTTTTTACTATAGTGCCCTTTAAAATTCTATGCCATGCTTTGATTTATCCTTTAAGTGGATGAAATTGATGAGTGTTCTTTGGAAAAGATATATTTTGAGTATACATTTTTGTTTTGTGACTTAATGCAGAAATAGTTAAGTTGTAAATATAAAATAAATTAATTTATCATATTATTACTGCAACTGTCATATTTTTTTATGTTTAAATACTGCAAGGTATTTTATGTTTAAAAACCCCTAGCTTTACAGTATTGAACTAAAAACTGTTTAAAGGTTGTTCTATTTATGTAGTGAATTATAGCATTGAGTTTTGCTAGTTAATTCCCCTGGTTTGTGTAGTTTTCTTGAGTATTTTGTATCAATGTAATATATATATTTTCAAATTGTGTAATGAAATTACCAAAGAGTAAGGCTAGTATTTGATGATTTTAAAGCAGAATCACGCTTACATATGATTTGTAGCCTACTAATAAGGTGCTTATCTTCCACTCCAATAGAATGTCAGCCCCAATCAAGTTTGAAAGTTCATAATTATTCAACTGACAATAACAATTTTTCCAAAACCTTTAAATGATGTAGTATAACAAAACATTTTTAGCTAGATGGTAGTGATGTCATCCGAATAACATGGTTGTAAGGCTAATTGTCTAAGGATTTTTTATTCATTTAGAAGTGGTTGTATTGTAGAATCCTATCCCAGCACCGCCAGTAGTGAGCACTGTTTGTGTGTTGTTGTTTTGGTAGCCTAGTCCGCTGTCTGACTGCTCGAGTGATCTGGGACCCCCTCCCCCCACCCCTGGCTGTCTGTTCCAGAGTGAACTCGCACGAAAGAAGGGCGACTTTGTGTTTCAAACAGGTCATGTCATTGAGATTGTCACCAAACTGTTCCTTGTCGTTCAAAACGCTGTTGGGAAACCTCCTCAAGTCAACATCAGTACAGAGTAAGTTGCTCACCACCACTCAAACTTGTTTGCATATGTCTAATAAAATCATATACAGTAGTGTCCGTAATAATAACATGGGAATTTTAAATTTACAATGTTTTAAATTTTCTCCGTAACCAATTACCTTATAATACCCCCGCCGCAGCAAACCTGCAGACTTAACGATTTTCCATTTGCCTGATTGGATTTACTCTAAAATATCTCCTTAAAAATATCACATTTATTCCCCATTTAAATAGCATTTGTTTAACGAGTACTTAGGTTTGCTGCAACAGGGAGGGTAAAAACATATTTTTTTATGAAATGTAATAGTTTAGTATGAAATGAATAAATTTTACAAATTTGATCAAAATATGTTCATAACAAAAAAATACAACAGTTTACTTTATTCTCCATAAGAATAACATGGGAATTTTAAATTTAAAATTTTTTTGAATTTTCTCGGTTACCGTTAGGCACATAATGACACTTCAATATACTAAATTATTTTTTTTTAGCTCCACAATATGGTTTGGAAAGAAATTGCTAAATCTTATGTTTTTTCGGTCCAAAATGGGAAAAACCAAATTTCACCCCATAAACCCCCGTTCCCATAGTCCGATCATGCTGGTTCGAATAAAAAATTTAATTTGCTATCTTCCACCTTTACATACATGCCAACTTTCTTAAAAGTTCAGTCAAAATTATCAAAGGAAAAAATAATGAAATGTATAATTAAACTTACAAGTTCAACAAGGCCAATATATAATAAATTTATTTTATTTTATTTTTATTGGCCTTGTTGAACTTGTAAATTTAACTATACATTTCATTATTAATTGCCAATATCTCCAATATAAGTCATACAGGATAAAATGTTAATGAAAAACATATAAAATGATGGATATCTATTAACAAAGCGATTTTGAAAAAAAATGTTATTCCTTATGTTCTTCTTATTTTGATCCAATGCGTAAACTTTGTCCCTACCTTTTTTGAACACACTGTATATGTGTGTGTCCGTTAGCAAAAATTATCCGATTTTAATTTTAATGAAATTTTGCAAAAACTCGTAAACCAACGTTTCTTCGAACAAGTTCGCGAACCAGCGTGGTCGGACCATGGCAACGGGGTTTTTGGGGTGATTAAAGGGGTAAAAATTGGGTTTTCTTATGTTCGAACCTCATGTTTGACCCTCAAAACATGAAGTTCCCTTTTTCTCTAAAATATTTTGAAGATCTTAATCAAACAAATAATTTAGTGAATTGAAGTGTTTTTATGAGGTTATTGGTTACGGAGAAAATTCAAAATATTGTAAATTTGAAACTCCTATGGTATTATTACGGAGAGTACATAAACTGTTGTAGTTTGCTTGTTTATGATTACATTTTTTGAAACATGGCAAATTTATTTATTTTAAACTAAGCTATTAATATATTAATAAAAACTCACTTTATTAATCTCCTTGTAGCAGCAAACCTAGGTACTCATGAAACCTAATGTTATTGAAATTTATTTAATTGAAAATCAAATCAGCGAAATTGGAAACTGCAGGTTTGCTGTGGGGGGGGGGGGTATTTTGCCTATTCCATGAAATGCAGAGACAGTAGTGCAATCTTTGATTGGAAGGCAAGTGAATAGGTTGCTGCAGATCTCTGGATGGAGTTGAGAACACGAAACACTGAAAGATTTTTATTTATTTTAGCTTTTAACGGCCGCCATTTTGAAACGACTTGATCAAACTCGACCATTGACAACCTGGGCCGAGATAATGTATTAAAGTACTTGTGTGCCAAATTCCATAAAAATCGGTTCAGGCATTCGGTCGTTATAGCCAATTCATGGGGACCCAGCATCCTCTTACGGCCGCCATTTTGATGATGTCATTACGGACGACCGAGGTCCTAAAAAATTGGGGTCTGGGCGGTTTTAGGTTCCGAAACTTGTATACTATAACCACCTAAAATTGCAGCCTCTCCGCCAGAACTGAAATATTCTGCCACTATATGCAGCTATACGACCCCACTATTTATTTAAATAGTCTTTTTATGAATATTGTTTACATGTGATTTCATTGTAGTATCCTTTTAATAAATCTAAACCAAATAAATCATTACAATTACCGACTGGGTGTTTTTGGGTCAAGGTTTGTGTAAGAATGTGTGGTTACAGGTTCGAGGCCAACTTTGGACAGCAGACAGTCGCTGTGGTGTTCAAGTGTACTGGTCTGCCAGAAGTGCAGCCTGGCCAAATCAGGGTGATGCGACGAGCCAATAAGATGGAAATACTCGTATGATCTCAGCCTCAACTGTGATACCACCAATGCCTTCAGCACTTGCTACCTTTCAGGTAACTCAAACTAACAAATAACTAACTATTCTTTGACATTCCATTTGAAATAATAATTTGAACTCTGTTGTTATTTGAATGCTAAACTTCCAAATGTTCAAAAGATGTTTTTATTCTTATTCCTCACCCCCATAATATTTAGTGCTTGTTTTTTTTTTCTCTTGTCATTTACTTAAATCCAGATTTGGCAAATCCTCCCTTTTAAATACGAGATTTAAGATTGAGTTCTCAAATATATTTGATTTAAATCAGTATCTTTTCTTTGATTCATAGATTTTAGAGTTAATGTCAACACAATAATAAAATTATTTTTATATTTAGGAGCAAGACTAGTATTTGTCTCATACAGAGCTGGGCAAAAGTATGGACACCCCCAATTGACTTTTTAATGGGTTACACCGGGAAAACCAAATCCTCCACACCTCTAATGTGTGCAATATAAAAGTACACGTTTTTGTTGGTATCTAAATATTACTTGTTGGTCTTTATAATTAAACATTTTGAGCTGCCTCCAAAATATCCCATTTTGAGGTTCCGGACAAAATTTTCTGACTCTATATTTTATTTTTCATTACTTCAGGCTATGCCTAGAGGTTGCCGCATTATTATAGTAGATCCTCTCATATTTGACCATGACAGGACTGGGGTACGGTTGGAACCGTCAAAACTTTGGATATCAGGAGGGGCATATCTCGGCAGCACCGGTAATCATCTCCTGCTATCACAGCAAAACCCGTTTGAATGTCTTGCAGTCTTGGTGACACTGGTATTTGTCTGCTGCGACTATGGAAACACCCGTGATTGGCCTTTCAATTTAACCAAACATTTTCGGTGATATCGCCTATTAGGTAACAAGTAAAGGTCGGATATGAGGGCTTCTACTGTACTTCCATTGGTGATCGGCGGGATCTGAACCGGGTCTTGAGAACCTAATTCCACCGCCCTACCAATAGACCAGCTGGCTTCCAAGACAGATCATTAAACACATTTGTACAAATATTTATGGTTAATTAAAGTAATGTGATGCAAGAAATTTGTATCAAAAATATAATATTGTTAAAAACACTGGTAAAAAGAACAGAAATCATGAGTTATGATTAAGGAATAAAATGTGAAACTCTAGTCAGACAATCCATTAATGCAGTGAAGCAGTTATAGCCAACCGAAATATGATTCTTGTGAAGAGAATATGAATATACAGAACTAAATACTGTATAGGTTTAGCCATTTCAAGTATAGGCCTATGAAATACTAATATTCCCATTGTCAATTTGTATTTCCAATGCTTATTTATTGTAATCCGGTGTTAAGTCACTCTCCACAAACTGTGCTTGGTGTGTTTAACGCAGAGATTTATTAGTAAGTTAACTACTGAAGTGTTATCGCAAAACATTATTTATAAACTCTAACTTCAAAGGCCACTTGTTTAATACCAGATATAAAACATGCACCATTCCAATGCAACATAAATTAACTTTTTATTAAAAAACCAAACTTATGTATAACATAACTGAAATTCTTAAAGAGTTTGCCTGATCACATAAAATATAAAGAAAATATCCTTAAATATAAAAGAAATGCACCCCCCCCCCTCACAATAGACTTAAACTATTTATTTCAATTTATATTATTTGTTTATTTACATACTTAAAAGCAGTGATCGATTTTCAGCGTAATAGCGTTCCGGTACCTCTCTTTTGGAAAGATATATTAGTATAAAAAAAGGTATATTAGTTGCATGAATAGGTAACAGTTCCGCCCCCTCACTTTTTACAAATCAAGTACTGCTAAAAGCAAGTTAGTTCTTTTTAGGAACTAGTTCAAGTTTTATTTGACACTATTCAATGTGCCTTATGAATAATGATTATTTTGCTTTTACTTTGAAAGTGTGTAATTTGTTTGCAGGTCAGCCATGACGACATCGCGATCCCTCTCTTCAAGCACAAATGTTTGTTGGATCGTGGGTTCCTACTGTCGGCCTAGTCTGTACCTTTAGTCTCGACTCTAGACACTAGAGCTCCTTTTAAGTTACCCTCGTCCTCTTCAATCTGGCCTTTATTTTATTGTCAAATAAAATTTTTGTTTATGTCATACCTAAAAAAAAGTGCATTCAGTGTTTCCATGCGCATAATGTGGGATAAAATGGAATATTTTGCTCCAAAGCCTGATTTTATTTTTATACTGCTTTCCATACAAAAACTAACCCAAATTTACTAAATTATTTTAGTTATTTAATTTAGCTATTTAATAGCTTTTTAAACATTATACATAAAAAGATCACTTGGTATGGAACAGAAAAGTGGAATAAAATTGGGATTTTTCATTACATTCAAGTGGGATAAAACGGGGTTTCTCTACCCAATTAGTGGGATTTTTGTTTTGGTTATAGGGAAACACTGGGTGTATATTACAGATGACCTAAAAATTAAGTAGTTAACTTAGCATTCAAGGACATATGCTCAAGTAATAACTAATACTCATTTTTTTAAATATAAAAATGCTGTTTGTTTCATGTTTAAATTGCTGAGAAAAAAGTCATTCCAAACTTTTATTATGTATTGAATATCGATATGTATTGAGTCAGAATGATTCACTTCAAGGCCAGATTCAAGAGGTGGATAGTTTTAATATAGCTGAATATAATATATATTTTCAGAGACTATAAACAATTTAGTGTTCAATATATTTGGCAAATGATATGTGCTTTATACATAAGTTTATAAATTAGGATTGGTGTTAAATCACTTTGTATACAATTTGTTTAAAACATCTTGGTCCAAATTGTGATATTATGAAAATTAAGCGTGTTCTGCTCTTACTTTGGTCATACTTTAGGCATTGTATGTGAAATAACTATGTAGTCTCATAATCTTAAAACAGTTTATCTTGGTTAAATATTTCAAATAATGGTGTAGTTTGTTTGTGTTATGCCTTTGGTATTAATAGTTTGTATTTTTTTCCACTGTTAAAGCCTCAAAAAACTATTATTGTCAGTAAATTTCCCCAAAAAGTACACAGTATACTTTACCAAGAGCCGCACATTGAACGTTAGACCTAGAATTGTCATAGATGGTGTCAATGTTTTTTGTTAAGTGTCATAAATGTTTCGTATGGTTTTCAAATGTCACACATATTTTGATACTTCATCACCAATTCAGACAAGTCTTTTTGCCTCAATCATAGTTATCATTGTTGTTTATTACATGGGTTAAATTATGATTTTTAAGATGGAAAAACAGATACCAACATATTAATAGTAGTTTACGCAACGATCGTGTAAAGGCTAACTACGTGAGTTGCTTACACTATTTTACTTACGATCGTTTGGACTACAACTATCTGATATTTTAAAAATCTTACAATTTACCTTCCTGCAACTGTTGGTCCGTAAATCGTTTATTTCACCATAGGTTAAGGAAAGAATGTGTGAGTTTCCGGTGGAAGATGGCAGATCAACAATTAAATTGGTCGTTACCAGCTGATAAGTTGGTGTTCGAAGCATTACAATTTTACTTCTTTTCTCTCAATCCTTGAACCAAATTGGTCAATTACATTACCACAAAATTGTTGTAAAGTATATGTAAGTAAACAATGCGGTCGAGTACATCTTTTCCATTCTAAAAATACAATTGAAAAGGATAGTTTAAAAAACGGTCGTAGGTCAAATACTTTTTAAAAACTTACCTATTATTAAAGAAACAATATTTTTTAACCAAAATGCACCTGCTTATATCGGTCACACGTCTTAAGTGAGTTTAATAGGTAAACATTAATTACTTTTCCTTTTATTCCCTCATTGTAGTGTTTTATTCACTGTATAAAGTATGGACAATGGGGGGATAAGCTGTTTATTTAGAAAACTCCAACCCCCTATTTTAAATGTTATACTCATGTCACAGAATTATTTTCTTTCCTCTTACATTAAATAATGTTCTTCAATACAAATCCAATTACTAAGAGTGGGGGGCAGGTCAATTTCCCGTCTAATGCCTAGTTTAATCCGTTATGTATTACAAATAACAAATAGCTTAGTCGTATTACAAATAACAATCTTTTAAAGTAAATAGTAAAAAACATATTGCCTAATAATCTTGTACCGCTAAAGTCCCAAACATGCCAAATTTAGCAAGCATCATCTGTAAGTCAGATTAAATCTTATGTTAATTCACTGACAAATGAAATTTTAAGCTTAGAATTTAAGGTAACTTTTAAATGTTTACTTTTATAAATCTTCTCTAAGTCTCACAAAGTATCTATCTCCATAAAAGTATATAGCATAACTTTAGGTAATATACTAATATATGGTTTCATCTGTAAATTATTTATCTTTTGCTAAATTACAGTGCCAAATGCAACGACATGTGCCAAAGTTTCTTGTTGAGATCAGTAAGTTTGAATATATTTCTTTACCCTAAATTAATGTGATAAGCTAAATTATATCTGTTCTTTACTATCCAATAACATTATTTCTTTGAGGTAGTTCACTAGTCTGTGTTTCATGAAAAAAAATCCTTCTAAGAGGGTTTGGATACAAACTTCAGCAATTGATAATTAAATCTTAAAAAACACTTGCTCTTTTGATATTATTTGAATTTTTTACTGTCCTAGATTATTACAGGTCGTAAATTTAAATATCAACTAAAGATTCTACAAAGATCATGAAATTCTTTTTAATTGGTTCTTATTCAAGCGATGATTGGTACATCTGCTATTATGTAGAGATAATTATTAACAACAGTTATTTTTACCAAGTGTGGTTGCTGAATTACCTTAAAAATAAGCATGCCTCAATAGAGAAACTAAAAATAACTTTACAATTTAATTAAAAACTTGTCTTACAATACTCGATAAAACAATAATTGTTCCTTTGACATTGATATCCTCCCCTAATTAAACAATATCCTTTTATTTAGTTTCAGTAAAACAAAGATCTTGAATACACGACAAATATTATAACTACTGCATCTTAACATTTAAATTCATTTAGCACTTAAATTTAACACGTTCAATGTGGCACCGACGTTGGCTATATCACTCGTACGGCTAAAATATGAATACTCATAATAACTTCCCAAATGTCATTTTGGATGATGATCTGGCGTTATTTCATCAAAATTGAAAATTTTGATGAGTTATATGACGTCATCATTTGTGACAGGAATACTCGTCGTGCACCACATTGTCGGCTGCCATGTAGAACCGTCGCACGTGACACCAAAAGTAATCCTTGGTTTATGTTGTAAACGGCTGTTGCCGTATCTCCTAGTTCATCTTCAGTGAGAAAGTCATCAATCCGTGAAGAATTAGCCATAATCATTCACTATTGCACAACACTTACGTCATATAACACACAAAAACATACTCACAATAATAATAAAAACCGTGCGCAACGGGATTGACGCCGCCCTAGGAAACACAAAGGACTACTTCATACAGCGCAATGAAAAACATCTTCCTCCGTCGACGGCTTAGCTCATATCGAGGCAATAATTTTGTAGTGGTGCTTTGACGAGTATACTCAAACGTGCGCCGCTTGGCAGCGCCAACACAAACAACGATGACGTCACCCGCATTGAACGTGTTAACCAAAAGTGTCGTGCAGTGGAAACACAAATTTTTTAACCACAAAAATAGAGTAAACATTTATCTTTTCAACCAATCTAGTAAATCCTGATATAACATATGTTTCCATTGGTTTCAATTTTAATATAATCAGCTGTTTCAAATAATATTAGAGTAAATTTCAAACTATTCATTTGTTCAAATGTAAACATTTATTTTCTTCAAGGATAACATGGGATCTTTGAAAGCCTCTGGGACAGAGCCCTGATGGAGTTTCAAAAATGTTTTATTTGATGGCAAATCTACGTGCCACGACCTATCCATCTATACCTTAAACAAGGTGATCAGATGCGTAGCAGCTTCAAAACAATTATCACAAAGTTCATGTTGGCCTATTAAATTTATAGATATATAGATGTGTCTATGTCAAATCAATTTTAAAGGCAAGCCAGCTGTTTTCCTTTGTAAAAACTAACAAACTCTTGTTATTGTCCTTTCTATTAATATTAATAACTTGCTATTTGCTAACCTTTATGAGATTTTTTGTTCACAAAAAATGTGTAAATTAGTGCTAACAGTTTAGTTTAGTTTAATTATCTTTGCTGTGTATCCTCAAAATCTAAAGTGATGTTTTCTGTCAAGGGAGGGTGCAATTGCAATAGATTCCTAGTTAACTCATAATGTACCCCTTTACTGTGAGTATTAAAAAGGGTTTTAGATAGTATTTCACATATACATATATACAAATTAAGTTAGAATTGTTCTTCCTATCCCCTCTAGACTTTTATTAATATGATTAGCATGAAATTTGAATTTTTGAAGATTCTAGTGTTTTATTCTATTAAAAATGTGTATTAAATATTGCATTAAGTCTTATTATAAGAGTAAGTCTAGATTAAAAGTTGCACGAATTGATTAGGTTTCAGGTTTTCACTGAGTGGGTACCTTGATGGGTTTTTGTTACTATTTAAAGGAGGGCGACGAAAGCTTAAACTAATGGTGTGTTAGAAAGTAATTGAACTATGAGGGAAGTTGAGTTTTGGGCCAAGGTAGTGCCTTAGCTAATTTTTTTTTATTTGTTGCTAGTTATATTTTTCATTGTGTACTGTATATAAAAATGTAAATGAAATGTATACCATTGTTATTACTTATTTCTTCATAACAATTGTGTTAACTCTTCTCAATATTGTTATTATAGAGATTAGTTGAGTGCTAGGAAGAGATGCCTTTGCGTTTTGTTACATTGTTCTTTATTAAGTAAATTCCGCCGATTTGTAATTACTTTTACTTGTAATTCAAGATCAGTTATAGTGTGAATATTACCATTGTTCAATCTTGTTATTTGGAAAAACTTGTTCAACAACCAAACCTTTTTATTTTACCTAGGATTTTAATTTAAAACAAAAATTAATGTGACGATTTTGAGGGTTTTTTTTGGGGGGGGGGGGGAATAGAATATATCTCATTATTGAGACAGTTTTTTTTATAATTTGTCCATACATTATCTGATATTAATTCATTGAAACTAACATTTGTTTATTCTATTCTTAACACGTATTGATATTGATACACAATAAAAGCTGCTCTAACTTGTATAAGATCAAGTTTTTTCCAATAATGTGTTTGTATTAATTTCTGTATAGTTCTTGAGTTTTGTTGCAAGAGATCTGTTAAAATGTTTGTCATATTTTCTTGACACATACTAGCATCTCCTGTAGGTATTCTGTATTGTTTTGTTACCTGTTTACATTTCGTGCCAAGCCTCCAGACATTAGGTATCGACCACTGTTATAGTAAAGATGCCTTGAACTCGTCGTATTTGTAAATATGTAAATATGTGTGAAGACAAAGCGTTTCCTGAGGAAATACGTCGAGACATATCGTGTGGCCCCCTGCACATCGTGTACTGCCATCTGACATCTACATCTATAATCTACAATCTACAATTTACCCTCTCAGTCGTGAGGGTGGAGTGGCACCAACCCGGTCAGTTGTATTGACCTTGGAATCCTACTTAAGGATTTATTGTAGCTATACTGGTAAGTGTTTTTAGAATAATAAAAGGGTTTTGTTATCTTTCTGTGTATTCATCAACCTTTCTAAAACCTTCAATTTGTTATCAAAACTTCTACCATTGTAAATTTTAACTATCACAGTAACAAGGTAGAAAATATAATTATAGGCCCTGGCATAACCTGTGTCTGTCTCACAGAACAATGTTCTTATGAATAAAACATTGGCGACAGCTGGTCCTTATAATAGGGAATGTTTACAAAAAGTCAATGCTTCTTCTCAACCAATCTTTATATTCTCAAAATCTGTGCACCTTAACCATAGTTAGTGCTTGATTTGTAAAAAATGAGGTGCCGGAACTGTAACCTGTTTATTGTGATTAGTACCTATTTATGTACCAATTCATGCCAATATTTTTATCTTTCTAGAAGAGAGGTACCGCAATGTCAAGAATGTTGTAATATTACAATGTTTAAAAGTCCTAGGACAAGTCAATGTTTGGATGTTGATGATATCATTGCAGAACTGTTTATACACCACTTATTTGTTGCAAAAATCCCATTTAACTGGTCTTTGTGAGATAAGAACTGTGAAAATTAGAGTTTTTTCTCAAACCAATTTAATTGAATAAATTTAACTACTACTAAACAACTACTAATCTTAAATACATGCTGGAAATTCTTTGGGGTTTTCCAGAAACCCTTAACAAACTCAAAATGTTGGCCACCATAATTTTTTTTCTATTGCCTCTTAATAGGGTATTGACAATTCTAACTTAACTTAAAAGAAAGTAAATCCTCGTCAAGTGAAACTTAATTTATAATCGCTTAAAAAGGTGTTAAGTTCAAATATTTTGTAAACTATAAGCATTGACTTTCTATAAGCCTCTCTTAATTAATTAACGTCATGGATTATTCAATGATTTTATTATGCCTATTTTAAACATGATATTCTCTTGTGTTATGAACACAAAACTACAAATATTTTTAAATGCCTATTCTATGGTCACTAACATTCAAAGCAGTTAAACAATGTTAGGGGCAAAAGGAACTTAAGTGGTCCTACGCTACGTAAAGTAAGCCTTTGCGACAGACAGGTAAACTCCAAACATAAGACAAGATTTTAACCTTCAATCCATGTAGCTGTCTCCTGGCTCCATATAGTGTAAGAAAGGGTAAAACCCTGAACCAGAGTACATTTTGTCCATACCTGTTCACATTACGTTTTGTCATGTCAAGCTAAGGACATATAGTTGGAATGAACAGAGTTCAACAGAAACATAAGCATCAATTTCAAAATCCTTTTCCCAATTGACATGAGCTAGACTGTGACAGATAGGGCTGGCTTCTGATAAAAGGCTGTAATCTATAAGCCACATGTCCTATCTATTAGTAACCAGCCAATGAGAAGGGATTATGAAGAAGATGGAGGGTTGGCGAGACTTGGAAATCCGATGACCTGGCGAAAGGGAAAGAAGACCGGAAGCTGGAAGAAGGTTCGAAAGTGTGTGCTTTTAACCCTTTTAAAACAGTTACAGTTTGTAAAAAATAACTTAATCTATTAAGATGTAAAATTATGTCATATATTTTTTTGTAAATTTAACAATCCTTGATTTTTCTACCTTTTTCATTGATTAATTAACCTTTCAAAATGTCATAAATATTATTGTTCACTTTCAAAGATATTATTTTGTGTGGGCATTTTTTGTTTAAACTTTTTTTCTAAATTATCTTCAGTATTACATGTTTAGAAGCACCTTAGCAGGTCTATGTCTCTTTCATCCTACCTATCTAAAACAGCCAAGCGAGCGTAACTTTATTTCAATAGAGGAATGAGACTCGCAAAAGACAACATCTTAGACCCCTTGGCCACTGGTCCGACCTAACTTTCCGCAACATTAACAACACTGTTTGACCAGAAACCTAAGTTCAGTTATCCTAAAGCTGCAGAACATATCAAGTGTAACTTTCTGTCATGTTTTTATCTACACTCACATATTCAGAACTTTAGGTTTTAGGTTACTGAATAAGAAAAGAGATCTTTCTGTTCCGTTTATGCTTGTTTTCTTTAATAAAGATCTGTACAACCAGGTTTTTACTTTTTTACTTATAAAAAGAAATTTATCTTTTTACTGTCAAAAACAAAAGAAAGGTGTATAGGATGTTTCTATCACTGAAGATGTGTTGCTTCCATTTTTCCAATTTTTGAATGCCTTGTCAGTCCGTGGTGTCTATCAAAATGGAGACAGTGGTTTTTTGTTGTGAAGGCCCTACTCTGGGTTTAACTCGACAGCTTAAAGCACTCATGTTTAGACAATATGTTTATTTTACTATAAATAACAGTAAAAATATAACATAAAACGATATCACTTGTTAATAACAATAGTATGACACTAAACGTTAACACAACAAATAAAAATAACAGATAAGATTATTGAAGTTTATACTCTCGATTCACTCTTCAATTAGTCTTCGTTTACTTCTTGGGTGCAATGATTCCTTCCAATTGAGCCTGGAACAAAAAATATTTTGTTTTACTCTTGAAATAAAATTAATCTTTATATGGTGTTTATAAAGTTGTCTAGTTGTCATTCATTTCCAAAGCACTAAAGCTGTGGATTATAACTTCACTCGTATGACAAGGGTAATGCCCACTGTCCACTGAATTTTAGTGTTGACGGAAAGACTAACAATACTAAAAACCCAGAACATCAACATTATAGTGACCCCATGTTTTAGGTAATTTGAAGAGAGGGAATGATAATCTCAACTCTTTAACCCTCTCCTAACAAATACTTTTATTACTATTATTATTATTTTATTTTTTTTATTTTTATTTTAATGCTTCTTTTAAAAGGTGAACTATTTGCAAGATAAACATGCAACATTCCTAAATAAGAGTCTCAATGGAAATTAGAGTAGAATAATTTGAATTTAGCTAGATAACTCGGGAAAATTAGGATTCTTTGGATACACACAAAAATAGTACTAATACAGATATTATGATCTTGGATATATTGATGATAAGTTTGAGTTTAAAACTGTTTTAAGCGCTGCCGATTGTAATTTTTATTTAAATTTAGGACTGCTTCACAGTTCCATAGTTTTAGCTTTGTAATTTCTGTAAGTGATATAAAATTGTTGAGTATTACCTTCAGTTGTTGATTAGTCTTCTTTAAGAAGTCAATTTCTTCTGCGTGTTTCTTCTCTTCAGCTTGTCTTAGCTCAGTAGCTCTTCTCTCAACTTGTTCTGCTTTTGCTCTCAACTCAGCTACTTGTCTCTCCAGATCTGACTTGACGTCTCTCAGTTCTGCTATTGCCTCCTCCATATCTGACTTCCCTTGTTCAGCCTGTAAGACGTTAAGGATTGACAAAGAATTTGAATTTCTTCTGAAGAACGATTTTAAAATGCTGTGCAAGTAGAACCTCTATTAACTGTCTCCTTTGGAACCGGAAGTGTGACGGTTAAGTGAATAGACAGAGAACAGAAATCCTGTTATAAATCTTTACAGTAAGGTAATTTAAAGGGTATAAGAAGAAGATAAACCCTGCAAAGTGAATAATACATATTTATGTTTAAATTACTTACATACAAGAGTAATACAGAACTGTGATTTCATATATTGTACTTGTTTAATGTTCGTACAGTGTGAAATAAAATTTTATTTAAAAACAATCTAAGAACTGTAGCGGGGTGACAAGTAACAGAGAGTGTACCCCTTCGATAATTGATGGTACATGTTTATCATGTAAAAAGGTGACAGTGGTAGGTGGTATAGAGGTTCTACTGTACTTCATTTCTAATTACATAAACATTTTAACCACATCAACTAGTTTTGTACAAATGCCTTTTACAAAAATTAAACTATGTCACATTTCTTAAGTTTTATTCTGCATACATAAATACTGTTTGAAATGTGAATAACACCTAGAAACACAAGGTATAATATATAAGGTGCAAAACTCGGTTCTGTTTTAGCTAATTCTATGTTGCTGTCAATTGCTATACAACCTGAATATGTAACTTTGTAAACTTGATTCCGAGGTTACTCAGAGGGAGTAGTTGACTTATTTGACCAAGGTGAGAACTGACCTGAAGTGCCTTGCGTATACCGAATGCGATGCTGCTCTCGTACAATGTCTGATAAGCAGCCATTGCCATCTTCATTTCATCCCTCACTCGTAGAAGCAACAGACCTCGCTCACAGCAGTTCACTGTTACTTGTCTAATCAGCTCATCTGCAATGTAAAACATCCCCTCTCTCTCTGTTTCATAAAAACTATACCCCTTTGAATTGCTTGGAAATCAGGTTTTGTTTCTTCAGGAGATGGGGTGAGGGGCTGATCTTAAAGCCCTTTTCAGGTTTCTTAAACCATTCCTTTTAGGTGTTCAAGTGTTAAATTTTAACTGTTAAGCTGCAATGTGAGATAATAGGAAAGAAAAGAGTTAATGATTTAAAGATTACAGAGCAACTAAATGAAAACTTCAGGTAAGCTACACATCTATAATATCATATATAAACTTCAAATCAAATCATTGAAACAAGCATACCCTTAAACTGATATTATGTTTGGCAGGCCTGGGGTTAGTATCTCTATAGTCCCGGAAGGTAGTTGCGTTCTAACAAACAATAGATTGAAAACAGAAGATTATAGATATCTTAGGCAAACTTCTACGATTGAGATCCCCTTCACTAAGGTAATTTAATATTTTACAAGGTGGGTATATGGATTGTTAGTGGAAAGATTCATTCTATAATCTATTTTGAAACATTGATATAATTCATAGTTTGAAACATCTTTTCACTTTACCAAAGCACTGATTGAAGAGTCGTCTTCGTACTGGACAGATGCCTGTTTCCCTAGCCTGCTGCTGTTGAAGGCCTGTGTCGAGCTGTTCTCCGAGCTTTTTGACATCTTCACGAGTGGCTGGCTCACTTGATACCTGCTCCAACACAACTGGGTCATATCTCATTAAATTTAACATTTTTACTGAATTATCCATAATGCTAATGATGGTTAATGCTTAACCAATGTTAAATTCAAATTATCTTTATTTATATTAAGTGCAATAAATAGAACAACTTAATGTACAAAAATAAAAAGATCAATAATGGATGTATATGTGTTCATAAAAAATGTACAGAGTGCAGTGACTTTGTAGAAAAAATTGTTATATTATTTAATTGGACTTTTCCAACGTGCTTGTGTTTTAAACTACACAATGTTTCTGGAGGTGGATAAACTCCTTCTGTTATCAAGTGAAAATATACTAGCTACATTAAACTAAATGGACCCTCAAAAGGTGGCCAGTCACACAAACTTCTTGCTGAAAAAATAACTATATTTACAACATATATACAACAATAAAATGATCCAAGTACATAATGAAACAAAAGTTGAAAAATATAAACACGCTGAAAAGAACTGTAATATATTGCTATACTTACTACCTTACAGCCAAACACAGACACAATCAAAACACCAAACTAACGCTAATTAAATAATAATGAAAAGCCCAATTAAATTATATAACATGTTAAAAACCAACGTCATTATGAAAGTTAAAAACTCTGTATAAAAAATTCTTTTGAGTTTTAATGTACAAACTGTTTAAGATTATTAATATATACAGTGTATATATTATTATTTCTTTGGGAACACTTTCAGCTCTTGACACTATGCACCTTTGCCTTGAGTGTTTCAGTAAAACTATATTATTTTTGTTTCTGGTATTAGTGGTATTGTATGTGTGGGTTTTACAATGTAATTCAAATTTATCCTGGTTTTTCTTTACATGTACGATACATTCCAACGCAAACAAACCAAACTTGCTTTAGACCTCATCTAGATCTAACAACAATATAGATTTAACATTACTCTTATTGGTTTTTTTTCTATAAAACTAGTATTTCATCTCAATTTTTCTGTGAAGTACCAACATACACTGCTATTCCATATGATATATATGATTGGATATGAGAGAAGAATAATTGTTTTAAGGCATGAGTTTCAGAATTTACCTTATGTACAACTTTTCACATTATGTACAGTATCCCTAAGACATTTATCGGTATGAATACCTAAAAATTGTGTGCAATTTGATTCATAAAATCAATTTCATATTGAGTTTCAATTTGATGTCAGTAAATATATCAGGACTATTCTTATTTTTGACCTGTTTGGTGCTAAATGAAAAAAAAAATTGTGAATAATATTAATACGTATTGTCTAATAAACATTCTTGAATTTGTGATAGTTGTATGTGAGCTGCTACTTCCACTACTACATTTTACTGTATGTCATTTAGTAATTTAATCTGTATTTATGCATTCCATGATGACATAAAGTGTACTTCATTAATTGGCAATATCAAACCCCTCCATATATCAGACTATAAGTTATGATGAAACTTACAGTTTGCCTCCAAAGTTGGCCATTTTCTTCCCATTCCCTTGGGGGAAGGATACAGTTCAGAACCTCTTCTGTTGACTTTGTTTTTTCGGTTGGGGGGATCCCAATATCTGTCGGTTTTTGAGCTGCTGGACTCGGCAAGCCCTAAAAATGTAAGAGTTAACTTTGTACTACAGTGCTGTAGCCCTAATTTTATAATTTAACATTTTTATTAGTCTGTTGTTGAGAAACGTAGGTATATTTTTATATTAAAAACCTGTATTAACAAAAAATAATAATTTAATCTATTTTATGCGCCTGGTACTGTCGGTTTTACAAAAATATTATTATTTTTATTAAATTTATATTTTAATGTTAAATTTAAGACTAGGATCATGAATTTTGTGTTATGTATGCATATAAAATAAGCATCAAGCCGTTAAACAAACGACAAATTATGTAAAAATGAACTCAAACTGTTATGAGTGTATTTAAACTATGATTTTTTTATAATTTTATGTGTTTTCAAAGATCATTTGACGTTAGATTAAACAAAAAATCTTTATATACCTACAGGTATTGTAGAAAGAAGAAATTGTCTGGAATCCAGATCATTTTTGCTATTGTAAAATAAGATTTAATAAATAATCTTTCTATGGCTTTGGTGTTTATATGTTATTTTCTTAATCAAAATGCAATTTTAAAATGAACTTAGATTTTAATACTCCTGTGCAACCTAAACCGAGAACTTTTCTCTGGAAATAGGCTGCATATTAAATATAAACTACTTGTGCCAATATGTTCAGGAAATTTCTCAATTAAATAAGTTTCTATGCTGAACTTACTGGTGTTGGTGTCAGGGGCTTTTCAGGATGTTTAGAAACTATCACAGGATTGCTATACTTGACTAAAGTATCTCTTGAGGCTAAAACACTCTCCGTAGCCATTATAGTAGCTGATCAAAAATAACAATGAATGCAAAACAATGACTGACTTTTAACAATGTAAGATATGTCAATTGATGTAGTGACATTTGCTAGACTGTTTACCAGTTACTATAGGAATTTCCTCTAGAGCTTGCTAAGGCAAAGCTGCACTAAATCAATAGGCCTACCTACAGTTTACAAAAGTAAGCCCAACCTTTCTTTACATGAATACTGTAGCTATATTCAATCTGATCAACAAAAGCATTGTTAGAGCTTTGCTAATTTTCAATTTATGTAAATTAAACATTATATTATGTACTAACGCTATGCAATAAACATTATAGTCTACCTTTTCATTAGGTACCTATTTACTTTTACACCCTGCAAATCCAGGCTGGTACAAAATGGTTTAAAAAATGCCACAGCAAATCTGCAGAGTTTCTATTTGCCTCAAAATAATTTCACTAAAATATTTCCTTAAAAATGACAGATTTATTATACCTATTTAAATGACATTTGTTTAACAAGTATTTTGGTTTGCTGTTACAAGGAAGATAAGAGAGAATTTTTATTGACATGTTAATAGTTTAAAGTATGGAATAAATATATTTTCCAAATTTAATCAAAATATGTTCATAAACAAGCAAACAACAACAGTTTACTTTATTTTCCATAAAAATAAGTAGGGATTTTAAATTTAGTTTTATTTTTGAATTTCCCCCTTAACCATTACGCACATAACGCTTCAATATACTGTACTTCATCATTTCATTTTTCCTCGAGTTATCATGCTAATGGTCGCATATTTATATAAACTAGTGGTCGTCCAGTGGTTGAAAACTCAACCAAAAATATGTAATGTACTGGCAATTCTGTGAGCCAGTGACAGAATATGCTTGTCTAAAATTATATTTTCTACCTTATTTTTTCTTGCTGACAAAGATGAAGGGTCATAACAGTTGCCATAAATCATAATAAGTCATTCCATAAGTTTGACTTGGTAAAAAACTAAAACATTGTGTATTCAACAAAAATTAGTCATTTAGATCAGCGCAATCTGTTGGTGTCTCACATCAACTGACGAATTTAATTTTAAAAACTGGCGACAACTTAAACATGTGGGGAAGAATTTTTAATTGTAAGACAAAGGTACAGGCTTCTCTATTTTCATCCCACACTGTAAATAAAACATGTGATTGTACTTTCTTCCATGAGTTTAGATTTTCTGTATATATTTTGTTGTTATTTCGTCACAAGCATGGCAACCCATAAAGCCCATGTTAATTTTTTTTATTACAAATTCATTTATCAAGCTTATATTTGAGCCTGTTTTAATTGTTTAAGGAATTCTGCACATCTACAGGAAAATATCTCTCTAACAGAATGCCCAGATTTTCTCTGCGATGCACACAAGCTGAAAAAAAGGTTTTAACATGCTTGCTTATTAATATAAATAGATATACACAGGGTTAATAAAAAGTGAGACCCCCTATTAGCTTTTTAATCGGTTATACCAGGAACACCAAACTCTGCACATATCTATAAAGTATAGATGCTTTATAGATTATTTAGCCAAATTAAATAATAAAAAACTGAACATACAGAATTCAAAAATTCATGAGAAGCTTAAAAAATAGAATAAATTTTGCAGTTTACAATAAGCGGGGTATTGGACGATTTCTTGAATCTGCCATTTTGAATCTTTGAACGACTGCCATTTTTTACTCAGGCGTTCTTTTGAGCTTGAATTTACGGCATTGTAATCTACTAGTGAAGACCTTTAATTTGATGTGCATATCAATTATCAACCGATGCTTACGCTAACAATTTTCTTCCGATTCCTATATAGGGATGTGAAATATACCTACCCTGAGGAGTAAGCGTATACGTAGTAATAGCAATGCAAATTAAATGAATCTTTGAACCACTGTCATTCTTGGCTCGGTTGTCCATTTCAGTTCAAATTTGCGGCATTATATTCTGCTAGTAAAGACCTTTAATTTGATGTACATATCAACCTATGCTTCTATTTAAGATGCCTTCTGACTCCTTGCGGGACGTCCCAATGATATGACAGAAAATTGATATTTCCTTAAAAAAGTAGATTTTTAGGTGTGGTGTTGATGTACCAAATCTCATTGATTTATCTGTTATCGTTTAGAATATATTAAACCGATCCAGGACTTTTGGGACAGTCGTATATACAGAATGTCCCACGAGAGGTGGCTCAAATTGATTACGAAAAACGGCTTAACCTACAAGGATGAAATTAAATTGTAAACTAACAATACACAAACGCCCAACCTAAGTTCGAATACACTACAGAGAGTAGCAGTCAAAAAATATGCACTTAACTATGTATTTAAATAATAAATATATAAATATGTATAAAAATATGTATTTATTTATGTTTTAATACTTTTCATTGAAATGCGATCATAAAACTTTAAGTATTTTATGTAGTATTTTATTTATATTTTTATTAGTATTTATTTATAGTATTTTTATTAGTATTTTAAAAGTATTTTAAGCGGTCTGTGGTCTGAGTGTGCTTTGAGTGGGGGAGGGGCGGGGACCTTTTTAGAAAATGTTCCATATATGATCTACTAACATCCATGAAAAAATCAGCCTTTCACTAAGGCCCCGTTTATGCACCAAGAGCGGGAGCGGTAGCGACAGCGGGAGCGATTTCTAACACCATTGAGTTAAATGGGGCTGTTTATGCACGAAGAGCGATAGCGATAGCGGTTGACCTCCCGCTGCGGTTTATAATTCGCCCGCTGTGTAGTTAGCAAATCGCAGCGGTTGCTTGGGATAGAGCGGTTTTCAACTACATTGAGTCAAATGGGACTGTTTATGCACGGCGGGAGCGGGAGCGGTTGCAGCCAGGGTTGCCAACTTGACCCACGCGCACGTGCACTTAGGACAAAATAGTTGAGTTAATTATTTGGCAGAGATCGAGTTGGCAAGACTGTGACCCCCTTCCATTCTCCTTTAACCAACCGCTACCGCTATCGCTCTTCGTGCATAAACAGCCCCATTCACAGCGGGAGCGGGCCCGCAATCGTCCCGCAGTTATAACCAACAGTTAGGCCCCGTTTATGCACCAAGTGCGGTAGCGGTAGCGACAGCGGGAGCGATTTCTAACACCATTGAGTTAAATGGGGCTGTTTATGCATCAAGAGCGATAGCGATAGCGGTTGACCTCCCGCTGCGATTTCTAATTCGCCCGCTGTGTAGTTAGGAATCGCAGCGGTTGCTTGGGCTGAAGCCAGGGTTGCCAACTTGACCCACGCGCACGTGCACTTAGGACAAATAGTTGTGTTAATTATTTGGCAGAGTTTGAGTTGGCAAGACTGTGTCCCCCTTCCATTCTCCTTTAACCAACCGCTACCGCTATCGCTCTTCGTGCATAAACAGACTCATTCACAGCGGGAGCGGGCCCGCTATCGCACCGCTCCCGCTCTTGGTGCATAAACGGGGCCCGCTCCCGCTGTGAATGGGGCTGTTTATGCACGAAGAGCGATAGCGGTAGCGGTTGGTTAAAGGAGAATGGAAGGGGGACACAGTCTTGCCAACTCAAACTCTGCCAAATAATTAACACAACTATTTGTCCTAAGTGCACGTGCGCGTGGGTCAAGTTGGCAACCTTGACTTCAGCCGCTCCCGCTCCCGCCGTGCATAAACAGTCCCATTTGACTCAATGTAGTTGAAAACCGCTCTATCCCAAGCAACCGCTGCGATTTGCTAACTACACAGCGGGCGAATTATAAACCGCAGCGGGAGGTCAACCGTTATCGCTATCGCTCTTGGTGCATAAACAGCCCCATTTAACTCAATGGTGTTAGAAATCGCTCCCGCTGTCGCTACCACTCCCGCTCTTGGTGCATAAACGGGGCCTTACAGGAAGGTTTATTGAAGAATTTGAAATTGCCAGATAGTTCTAGTGAAATACACGACTTAGAAGTAAGGGCTAAACCAGTTTGTAATAATCTATTGCCACCTAAATCAAAGAAACGTAATGAGAAAATAATAACGTAAGTGTGCAAGAATTGTTATTGATTTCCCTTCTCTGAAAAATAGTAATATATACAGTATATTTATTTTTTATAATATAAATATTTACATTGTGTTTGCTTTGATTTAAATGCTACAAATAAACTGTTTCAATACATTCGTTATTGCTACAATAATATGTCATATCATAGACAATAGATAATTTATTACGAGCCTACTCCCACCGCCCTCAGACGACCTGTCGCTGAACAGTGCTCAACAGAAAATAGATCTTTTTGCCGCACCCTGTATTTATTTAAATACTTGATGTTATTACAATTTATTTCATATCTGCTCTAAATGAATGGAGATATGAAAGTATGTTGGCCACTTCCAAGGCTGACTACAAATGTTCGTTCCTTTAGGTGTCTTCCAGGGGTTTCCAGGTGACAGCTTAAACTGTGTTAAACTTTAAAGTATTAGAGTATTAATGAGAAACCTATTGAACATTTGTAAGAACACAACACAATATGGTAACTATATAGCAATATTGCCAAGCTAAATTATTTTCATTTAAATTAATTGACAAAAATGAAATACTATTTACTCAATATATCAATTTAAAACATGATGTTTTTTTTTAAATATGCAAATGCCCCCAACGCATCAAACCAGCAAACTGGGTGAATAATGATTTTCCTGATTACATTTTAGTTACTAAAATATTTTATATTAAACATGTCGGACTTAAATTCCTTACTTTAATAGCATTAGGTTTACCAAGTACTTAGGTTTGCTGCTATAGGAAAGGGGAAAAGTTTGTTAGTGAAACTTTAATATCTTGGTATGAAATAAATCGATTTACAAAAAATAATCAAATTATATCCATAAACAAGCTAACTAAAACAATTAACATAATACCCATAAGAATAACAGGAGGTGTTAAATTCACGTTATTTTTTGGGAATTTCATCTGTAACCAATTGGCACACAAACGCGCTCCAATTAAGTTTTGACACCATTAA